AATGAGGAAGTGAGGAGAGGAAAATGTGCTGTTGATGCCTGCAGTACACTGTTAAAAAGGCTTTCGGCGCGACTGGGTTGAGTCAGGTTTCTACTAACTGTGCTGAAACAAGAAATAAATTGTTCACACTTGATGCCGTGGCAATGTGTCATCATATGCTCGCAATGTGACATTCCTTATTGTTTTACAGTGAGCTCAGTGGAGGCCAAAAACCCAGCAGTGGCAATTATCAGTGAGTAAGGTCTAGGTCTCCTTCTCATAAATGAAATATCACTGGAAGTAGCAGTTAGCCTATACATCAGCTTGAATTAATGTCAGTTACATACTGTGGAGGAAAATGGCAGCTACTGTACGCTTTCACGGCCTCAGAACATCCACAGAAACAACTGCAGCATAATCTGCTTTGCTATTGTCCATCTGTATAATGAGTCATTGTTTTGCCAACATATGGGGGCAAAAGCTGTTTTTGAATCTCATTTACATCTCAGGACACAATCAGTACAAGAGCAAACTAAAAGCTGGGATTTGAGGTTTAAGCTTATGAAGACGTGGTTTTATCAGGGCCGATGAAGATTCCAGTTATCAGTAATCAATGAGACCAACAGTTAAAATGAAAATCTTTGTTAGAAAATAGAATAATACAAACTCCTAGAAAAATAAACTTTGCTGAAATGCCTCTGTAGGGATGTCCCAATCAAGTCTTTGTTTTGCCCCCAATCCAATCTGAGTCATTTTATCCTAATCCTAGATTACACAGACTTGAAGTACATTAAAGTTATTAAAATCAATCCAATTCATAGGAGAAAAAAAAAAAAGCATTTCTGCATCCAAGCTGTTTCTTAATGTTACGCAAGCGGTTAAGAACCTTTTCGCAAACCTCCGAGGGGGCACAGTCTGAAACGTTGAGTGGAGAAGATAGAATGTCACATGGCTCATAAGCTTTAAAGGAAAGTCAAAATCTGTATTCTCTAAATGCATGTCAGAAGATGTACTGTGGATTAGATGTAGTACCTCTTACTGTTTAATACTGCAGCGACCCGAACAGGTCCATGTTGGCAAGCAGGGAGGATTGTGGGGGTTTGGCTAGCAAGTGGCCACCATGACAAAGACTTCTGTGACGCCTAATAGCCTCTGACCAGCCCTCATATATTTAGACAAAGCTGGGGTTGACAAGGACACCTTTCTTATATCCCAATCACATCTGCAGGAGGGCTGCAAGGTGGTTCCGTGGTTAGCATTGTTGCCTCGCAGCAAGAAGGTCGCCGGTTCGCATCCTGGTAAGGAAACCCGGGATCTTTCTGCGTGGAGTTTGCATGTTCTCCCTGTGCAGCGGTTTCCTCCCACAAGGTCCAAAAACATGCTGAGGCTAGTTGGTGATTCTAAATTGTCTGTAGGTGTGAATGTGAGTGTGCTAGGCTCCCCCCCCCAACCTTAGTGAGGATTAAGCGGTGTATAGATAATGGATGGATGGACATCTGTAGCAGCCTAAATCATGCGTCTGTTGACCAAAACAGCAACATCGAAAGAGAATAAATGTCTATTGCGCCCAATTTGTGTTGTCAATTAACTGAGCAGTGATCGGTAATGCTGCCGATTATTTATCAAGAAAATTATTCCATATTTGCATCCCAATATCCTGCCACAAATTGCGTTCTCCTGCTACAACACCTGTGTCATAGCGGAGGTAAACTAAGAACTTTTCAACATTTCTCCTTTAGTGTTGATTGGCAATTAGTTGTGTTGGGCAACAAATCAGATCGTGCTGTGACACTGCTTGAGACAAGTGAGTCAAAGCAGTGCATTAATATTACTATTGGTTATTGCTCCAGTAATTAGTAAATTGCAGAATATAGCCAGGCTGATAATCAGTCAAAATTAACCAAACCTCATACATATTGTGCAGTCAAGAAAGTAACCATTTACCTCTGCAGCAAATGTGCAATCTGCTATCTTATTATTTGCAGGTGTAAATTATGTAAAAGTAGCGTAATTGACAATTAACCCAGAACATCTGTAAAGCTGGGTGTTGCATTCGTCGCAAAAAATCCAAGTGTTACATATATGCTGAGAGGTGCAACATCTGCCGCCGAATTAAACTTGCGTGCGTGGAATAACTTATTTAAAGAGACACTTGGTTTTGCTTTGAGGGGCAGGAAAAAGATTTACAGCAGACCAAAACCGCACGCGTGTTAATTTTAGATCAAGTGTTTCAGCTTGACATATTCTTCCCCAAGAAAAGCAGTTGTTTCCTGCTGTTGTAAGCCTTGTGTCGCCTTCTCCTGTGAAGCTTTCCCGTTTTTCTAATAAAAACTAAACTGTCTATTAGTAAACTTAATGGTTGGTCTGCTACATGCATTTACTACAATGCACACTGTAGTTTGTGGCCACTTTTGATACGATAAACGTGTTTATTTTTGTGAGAAGTTGCATGATTCTGTAGAAAGCGACACCTTTTCCCTGTAGGGTTTTGGATTTAGTTTTTACTCTCGTCTTTTACTTTGATAATGCAACTCCGTTATTCTGTTTTTAGACATTAAATTGTTTTCTTCTCCCTTCTGCTGATGCATATTTTGCCATTTGGTGGACTACAGTCTTACCATTAGTTAGCGAGACTTGAAAAGAAACCATAAACGCTTGGTTTAATGCAACAGCCCGCCCTTCTAATGGAAGAACCATTTCCATGTAAGAATGATTACACAGAGGTATGTGTAATTCGGAATTGAAATTTTAATATCTTGCGGCTCTCCTTCATTTGTATTAATGCTCGTGTGAGCGTATGTGCATACCCATGTGGGCCACAGAGTGAATGAAGTTAAGGGAGATATGAGAGTGCAAATGCTTGAGAGGGAGAGTCAAGGCTATAGAGAGAGAGGGAGAGAGACAGGCTGTAAACTCCACAAGGCAAATCTAAAACAGGAAGGAGACCAAGAGTGGAAGATGAGAGCGAGTAATGGAGGCAGAGAACAGATGCAGGCTGAAATCATTGCATTACATCGCATTGTCTGCACTGCAGGTACAGATAAAGAGAGCAGAGTGGTGGAATAAAGTGAAAGGGATCATTTAACAGGCTTAGTAACTCTACATATTATACACTTAGGGCTTTAAATTACTACGACGTAAGTGCCAAATGCTTAATTCTGTCTCTTATTGTCAGTTTTATTAGCCATTTCGTAGTTCGGCTAATCTTAAATCAAAGACTGACTAATATAGAGATTAGCTGATTTTACTGGCCGATTGTGGAAGTTATCTGCTCTCCAGTGTGAAACGTTTACACTCGTCTCCACAACATAATGCTGGAAAATATGCTCATGGTGATTTAGAAGTGGTGACAACACATAGTTAGTAAAACAGGCCATCTATTTACAGCTTATTTACACTGCTCTGTCTGCAGCACATGCAGCAGAGCATGCATCACAGCTGAGCAGATGGCGGTGCGGAGTCAAGCGGTGTCTAGAAAAAGATAACTTTCCCTCTTCGATATAACTCCAGTGTTTGATTACAAATATATTTATAGAAAGACTACATCAGGGTTTTCTATTTCCAGAAATCGTTTTATCAGCATCGGCCTCAAAGCTCCAGCATCCGTCATGGCTCAATCTTAACATGTTCCACAAATGGGCCGGACAATTAAGACCCAACTCCTCTTCCAACAGTAAAAGATAAAGTGAGCTTCTTGCCTCGAGGCCACTCAAGTAAGATATTTAAAGCTCATTAAAGCTAAAACAGTCAGTCGATTTATCCACTGTTCAACTGGCACACGACTGATTGGCTGTCGGAATAAAACGCTCGTGTTGTGCTGCTTTTTAAATGTCACTAGTGTGTATTTTTTGGGGACTGTTTTCTGACATTTTAGAGACAAACACCCAAAAAAACATAAATTAATCAGAAAGGGACGTCTGGCTAATGGACAGATTGAATAATTGTAGGTTGTAGCTCTGAAGCTGACATTCACAACCTGTACACAACTTAATGCAACAAGCCCACTGTGGTGTTTTTCTAAAGATATTTACTGTGAATGTTAGTGAGAATAACAGCATGCCTGGATGGTTATTTTTTTTCCCTGGCAAGCGACTTATATAATGTGTTGCCATGGATAACGCACTCTATATCTGTTGCTTTTTTTTTTTTTTTTAACCCAAAAACATCATGAGTGAATGATGGTGCTTATTCAAAGAGCTGTATGAGTAATAGAGGAGGTGGTGGATCGCTTAGACGCTGAAGACGTGCGAGTGTGTTGGAGGGGGGAAACAGGGGTGTGTACTGAAAGCGATCCTCCAAACACAGTCAAGGCTCTGTGTTGCATGTAAACACGACACTTTGAGGGAGATGATGTGTTTCTTGTGCTCTCTGTGTTTTGATTTGAAGGGTTCAGCAGCCGTGTAAAAGGACATGAGGTTGGTGTGTGTGAGTAAAGTAGCCACAGAATAGAGGAAAACACACTCCTGAGTGGTGTAATGTAAAGAATCATCATTCCCTGTAATGTGAAATAAGCCAACATGCTGCTCAGGGGGCTGTGTTTTCATCCACATTCGGTGCCACTCTGGTATTTTGGCAGAAATGTGGGTGTGTGTGGCTCAACTGTGATGTCACCCTCTAGTGTATTTCAGCGGTGGCAGCTGGCAGGTGGACCACTATGAAGACCATGTCCCCCCTCCTCTAAAGAGTAAAACCTCACACAGCCTTGTATCATATCACTTCTGTGGCTTTACAGCAGCACAGACCATCAGAGCACCCTCCCCTCACTGTTTACCAAAACCACAGCCTGCTTCCATTCATACTAAAGCCAAGGTCCTTCTCCGTGTCCTTGCACTTAACAGCAAAGACGTGTTTTGTCAATGAAAGAGGGGGAGGCTGCACATGCACGCACTGTGATGCACAAACGCTTGTTTTGGGAATAACACGGGAGCTGCTTCTTGACGGTGCAACTTTAATAAACAAACGTGTGAAGGGAAGCGGAGGGAGGGGGGGAGAAAAACACAGAAAAAGATGTCCTTTCTTACCTGCTCTCGTCCCGACCCTTCCTCCAAAATGGGCTCTTCTGCGGTGGCCGTCTCCTCCTCCGTCTGCATTTTCCCCTCTTGCCACTCCTTCCTTCCTTAGAACCGGGCGCAGGCAGCTCCCTCCCCGGTAACGTCCGACGGCAGGGACCTCCCCGGCGGAGCAGCGAGCTCGGTCACCCCATCCGCCGCAAGTCGGTATCCAATTTCACGACAGCGGGGCCTGCGGCAAACAAGCATCCTCCGCTCCGGACTCCGCGGTGCTCCTCCCGGCTGCGTCTCCTCACTGCTCCTCCTGCACCTGCTCCATCCTCCCTGCTCGGACGAACCCAAAAAAAAAAACAAAAAAAAAACGTGACTAAGCATCCAAAGTCAAAGCCCGTCGCCCTCCCTGCCCACCGCCGCCGCCTCCCGTGATGCTGAAGCTGGACGAGCGTGCGTGTGTGCACGTGGAAGCGCGTGACCGAGGTGGGGGGGTGGGGGGGGGAGCCAACCGGAGCGCGGGACTTCAGCCGCCGCACCGGGCGCTCGTTAACAGGCGCCTCGAAGGTTAAAGCAGCGAGCTCCGGGAGAGGAGAACCGAGGCCTGACGACTGTCGCGGCGGAACTTTGGCTCGGTGGCGGCTGCACCTTGCGTCGGGTCCCCGCTGACGTCACACACAGCATCAGCCACCCCCTTCACCTGACGCACAGGCGCGAGGCTCCCCTGTGGAGACACACGCGCACACAGCCGGAGCCCAATGAGATGAGACACAGCTGCAGGACGTGTTCAGGAGGCACGTAAACACCTGAGTTAACCTGCCACAATGTTGAATGACAAAATCTGTTCATGTGTTCAGTTTGTAAGGAGTAAAAATGATGTGGAATCTAACTAAGCACTGTCAAACACAAGAAAAGCAATGGTGATCCCTTTCTACACTGTAAAATAATGACATTTGGAATAATTTACTGATATTTCACAGATTTTCCCTGTTAAGTTAAATTATACATAATAACTAGTAAAATCACTGAGAAAAAATATGATCTTACACATGAACCATTTACCAAAACTGTAAATAATGTCTGCATCAGTAATCTGTATTTATACAAATAATAATTTGTTTTATTTTTTCACATTCAACTGTAAAATTGCACTGTTTTTATGGTGTATAAATGAGCAAAAAATATTTTTTTTTATAAGGATTTTAAAATAAGTTATTTTTTTAACTTTTGATTTACAGTTGTCTTTTTTGGTAGATTACAGATAACTTGCAAAATAACATTTAAAAAAAGCATTAATTAACACAATAACCCTTAAAAATATATAAATAATTAAAAAAAAAAAACAGGCCAAAACTGTGCATGTCAACATCAAGAATCAATATTCTTTAAAATCATAATTAATTCTTTTATGTATTATTGTAAAATTACACAAATTTTTACTTTATTTAAATCAGCAAAAAAAAAAAATATTTCACAGACATTTAGCAAGATATATAATGTATATAAAAAAGTATTTTAAGGATAAAAAATTGTAAATTATTTTCAACTTATTTTACAGATTTTCCCTGTATTGGTAAATTACAGATAATATGTATACATCAACAGTAAAAAAAAACAACAAACAAACACATGAACAGAAATGCTAATGTCCACATAAAAAAATCAGTTTTTTTTTGTTTTTTTTTTACCAAATAGTAATCTATTATTTTTTACAGCCTTTGAACACGGCAGTGTTCTGCTGTTTCCAACATATTCATTCTGGTTAGATTTGTACAGTTTTTCTACAGATTGTTTCTAAAGTGTAAATTAACTTGCCACAATTATTTGAGTGTTGAAAAAAGCTTTTATTTCAAGAGTAATATCAAAATCCAAGCAAACATTTCATTTGTAAGGATCAAAATAGAGATATAAAGACTGGAATGATGTGAAGTTTGACTGAAGACTAGGTGGTGCCGTTAATATGTCCTGAAATTCACAAAAAACAAACAAAAACAAGTTGAGTTACACTGAACCTAAATCTCAAACGGGTAAAACTGTAGATCATTTTCTGGTGTAGGATGCAGACCTGTGTTTGCTGAAGGGCTCTTTAGGCGGGTGCTGGTTCATCTGTGTACGATTACCTGACCTCTGGGAAGGCTGGATGACTCTGGAGCTTTTCTTTTTGTGTGCACCTCTGTGCTCCTTGAGCCAAACGTCATATAACTTCTCAGGAAGGACGGGTAAAATTATGTAAGGACCAACTGTATGTTTTCTCTCCACATAATTGTTGTGTCTGTGGCGACCATGACTAGTTTCATCCTCAATTATGCATGAAATCACATCAAGTTTCATTACTTCTATTCTGTCACCGGTTGTTAAGTCTGTGCAAGTTTACCACATGCATCACTGCTGTGACAACTCATTCTAAAAATCTGAAATTCACGCTCAATTCATCGCTGTAATTCCTAGCAAGTATGGTTCATGTATAAGGAACTGAATATTAGGAATTCATTGTTCCAGTGCGAAAGGCAAAAGTTCCCTCCAAGTGCAGCGCTTCTTTACGTGTCAAAGGATATTGGCAGTGACAGGCAGATAGAGGATGTCTGTCTCAGTATGGATGATAACGTCCTGGGAGATATACTTCTTCGGCTCCACTTCTCCTGCCTCGGCTGCACACATAGCAAACAGCTGAACCTGCAGTTCAACCTGCAAACCTGCAGCCACCTAGACAGACAGCACACTGCATATGTATGTGGAGCCTCGGAGGAAATGGAAATTCAGCACATTCCACGGATGATGACATTATCTGGCTGTCGTCACGACCAAAACTTGGAATGTATTAGCAGCTAACGGGACAGGTGAAAACTTTTATTCACTCCGGTAAAAGAAATATCTCAAAAATATCAACTATACTGAACGTTCATATATCAAAACTGTTGATATTCAACCTATAAATTATAACACCGTTTACACACACTACACATCCAGATGGAAACTTACAGGCCCAGGATTGTAGACGACCCGGAGGCCGGTAGCAGAAGGAGGCTGTTTCACATGGAACCTGGCAGACACAGATTGAAATAAACCACAAATAGTTACAGGTCAAAGCTTTCCCTTTGGACTTGAAGGTGACCCACAAAGAAGTGCCTCCACCTATCCACAGTCCTCGTTTCTGTCTGACACAATAAAAGCCATTTGAAACAAGCTGTAAGGCTGCAATTAAACTATTAGCTGTTTTTGTTATTTCATAGTTTTGATGCCTACATTTGATTGTGCATCTTTTATCTATCCATCTATCGTCTGGAGCTGTACCTGCACGTGTCAACGCCCACATTCTTCATCACCACAGTAATGGCTGAAGAGGTGCCCTCCTGCAGCGTGCCAAAGTTGACACTCGATGGGAGAAGCTGGAAACCCCTCACGATGGTACTGGGATCAGTTAGAGAGATTGTTCGACATTTCCTCCTCACTGGTTCTTCCACTGTCAAGAACTGGAGCAGAGGACACAGTGTGCAGTATATGTGAAAAAATCAGCCAGTGTGTATGATAAAGTGTAAAGTACATATGAAACACACAGTTTTTCAGGAACCCCTTGTTCAATACACGATTACAGGACAGCCAGTGACATATTAAAGGAAAACCGACATCAAGCATATTTCTTCTAAAAGGCATTCCCTCATGTAGCGTTTTGACGATGGTGGTTGATCTAATCTATCTAATACATCAAATGTAGTGACCCCTCAAGCTCTACGGATGTGGAGGAGACCCCTCCCATCAGGATAAAAATCTTTTATCATAGGATGAAGGTGATAACTCAGAACAGCTCTGGGAGGACAAGTGGAGCTATCAGTAAAATCCACCCCACAGCGTAACAGAGGCACCAGATACCCTCTCTGCAGGAGTCCACGGTTCAACAGTTCCTTTAATTTAACACCCATCTGCGTGCAATTAAATCGCAGAATTCTAATGCCTTCGTTGCATATAAACTCCTGCAGATGTCACTTTAGGATACTTTCAGCGTTCACAGATAAAGAGTGAAAACGAGGAACATTTCAGCAGGATTGAGCACAATGTTTTATGACAAATGTAAGTACTTTTTCACCCCTTACTATTTCTTTAAATTGACACTGTACGTGTGTAGTACATGCAGGGGTTTCAATGTGTGTTACTGCGACAAACATGATCCTTTGATTGATAACTTAAACAGTAATTTTAGATATAATCACAAACTGCAGATTTCTTTTTTCTAAATGCAGGTGTATGTGTGTGTACCGGCTGGTTTGGTACGCTGTAGGGTTTAGAGCTGAGGATGGAGGTGGGCAGTCTGACTTTGTTCTGCCTGGGCTTTCCAGTCACATCCACCTGGACTGATTTACATTGCTTGGATGAATCCCTCAGACTGCTTTCACCTGGGTATGAATACACAAACATGGTAATTCATTCATTTATACGCAATTCTAACTTCTCAGTCTGTCCATGCTGCATATTACCCAGCCTGGAAATCACACACTTTAAATCACATATACTGAGTTCTGTTTGTCTTTGTTAAGTGATATTAAAATGGGACGGGTTTAATGTATTTTCCGGCCTGATGACGATTTAAATAAAATTCAGACTTTGTCCTCAAAATGTCCCTAAATATCCGGTGTAGCTCCTGATTGATTTTGCTGTTTAATGGCTCTATGTCTCTTGCTAAAAATGAACACAGTGGTACGAGGACAATTCTTATTACATTATTGGGGACACTGGAGGACGAAGAACACAAAAGGGGTGGAACAAACCAGCAGTCTGAGGTGTGGGGTTGGTGGGTCTCTTTCCAGGCGTCCTGCCACTTCCGGCTGCATGACTAAGAACAAAACACAAGCTGAGCAGTGTCACAGTATAAAGACTGAAAGGTGACAGTTTTGTCCTTTGATTCAACAACATTCAGAGCAAAATTAAACCAGAAAAAAGTGACAATAACATCATTTGCATTATTACCTCGCTGATTGAGAGGGCGTTGGGTTTAACGGTCGTGGGGCTGCAGTGACAAACACAAATTTATTACACAGTATGTACGGCTTTTAATTTACCATCAATGTCTCCAGTTCCATTACAAAAGGATTTTTAGTTTTATACAAAATTCATTTCACATCAGTGTCTGCAGACAGATTCCCATCACACAGGACACCCTTTAAAATGAGATTCATTTTAGTAGCCCTTAGTAAATACCGGCAGTATAATAACTTACCGCTCTCTTGTGGGGCATCCTTCAGGAAGGTGTCAGCACGGTCTGACTTGGGGACCGGTGGGAGATCCATTGATAGCCTCCTCATGTCAGGTATTCCAGGCTCTAGGAGACTCTGGAAAAACAGGCCAACGGTGCTGTGTCTGCATTCAACTACACTGACCCACATTAATTTTATAAGACACATTTAAATATACTGTACAGCAGACTGACTGACAGTACCTGGAATAATGAAATGTTTTCTGAGTGAAAAAAAGGAACAACGCTCTTCTTCCTCAGAGCCTCCCTGTGAGTCCTTTCTTCACAGAGTTCTTGTCTAAAATACACAGGCGAGTACAGAAAATTACTGATGAGTTCATTGAATTCAATGCACTTTTAGCAATGGTAGTACCGTCATTTCCCACTTCCATCCATATCTGTTAGTTGTACTGTCGTAGTTGCAGCCGAAGCTCTCGATTAGTTCAAATAGTTTCCTTCAAAAAAATTGCAACTTCCACACAGAAAATGAGAAGCTGAGAGCAATTTCTACATCTAATACACACCAGTGTGCTGAGCAGATGTTTACTGTGAGTCGACAGATGTGTAGACAATGTACCAGTGGCCATAAGCCATAAAACATACATTTTAAATGCTATTTCAGTGTATTAAAATATTTCACTAAATGCTGATTTGAAAACAGTTCACTGGACTTACTGACTGCTGACGTTTTTACATGTTTAGGGTAATTCTACACAAATGTGGAAGCAACATGTTCATTATGTTTACCTGTGTTGTGCAAGCGTTTCAGGCCATTTCGAATCTTTTCGACGAGCAAAACTGCAAACAAGAGGACAGTTTAAAAGGTTGATAATACAGTTGAAAGTTTACTTAAATACCTGGAGCTGCAATACCCACTGTTTTATATCCTCCAAACTGTCAGTATCTGTTGTGTCTTCTGAAACATCTGGCTTCTCAGTTGGGGCTCCGACTCCTTGGCTGTACAGACTGGCTACGTCCACTGCGAATACACACAAGAAGAAATTAGACGACGTGTTCATTCCCCAAAGTGTTCTGATCCCTTGACGACAAACCAAAATTTAATCACAAGTACTACCTAATCAACACAGAAATATTAAATTAGAAACTTCCAGTACCTCTGTCATCTTCACTTCAATAAATTAAACAGTCCATCTTATGCTTTAACTATCGAACACTTTAAAAAGCAAGTTTTGACGCTGATTCTACTCACCTGAAATCCTCTTATCAGTGGAGTGACTTGTGTCATCTTTCTCTGTAAAAGACTATACAATACATTAATAACAACTTGTTGTGTATTACACTCTTTAAATATTATTTGTACAAACTTTGTAGGTGGAAGCCAAGATGCAGTGAAGAGGAAGATCATCTACAACCTGTCCGACTGCTATATTCAACAACAGTTACAGCAAAGCGCACTTGGAATTTTACCCACTGTAAATCATATTGTATATTTTGGTAAACATGTACGTGGTGTGTGTGTTTACCAGAATCAGACTGAGCAGATCACTGGCGTCAGTGCTCTTCTCCTCAGTTGGAGGACCTTTAACCTTCCTCTCTTCTGATCGTTGTTCTCTTTCTATTAAACTCTCTATGTATTCCTGTAGTCAAGGACACAATTTCAGGTAACAAAACTTGAACAACTAAACAACAACATGAAGGTACTCTTGCATCATTTAGTCTACTTATTGTATCTATCCACACAGCAAAAATGTAGCCCAAAATAGCTTAACCGAGAAGTGAACACAACAACAAACATAGTTAAGGGAAAATATCACGTCACAACCATTTCTGAAACAAAGGATGATGAATAAGTTTAACCTTTAGTCGGGAGTCTATGGTGTTTTTGAGTGGAGTGGTGAACGGTCGGTGCTGGTGCAGTTCCCTCATCTCCAGGACTTTAGGGCAGCTCCTGACAGGTTGATGCTGTGCAGCAGAACCACCAGAACTCAACGTCAGAGTCAGACCTCGCCCCAAGTCAGTACCAAAAGGAGGACGTGGACTCTTCTTCTGAAATAGAGGAAAATATCAACATTTTAGCCACGCATGTGCTGTTTGTCTCTGCACACATGTACAGCATGTTTAGGAACACTAGTACATCTAATAGCTGTGCAACAGATCACAATTCACATGTTCCTCCTCAGATCATGGCTTTGAGTCATTGGTTAGTTAAAAAAGGAGGCTGCCATGACTGTTACTGTCAACTGCTTTTAAAGATCCCATGTTCATGCTCACATCACTGCAACATCTGCATCTTGATACAGGAAACGATTTCTTGCCAAGGTGAAGGTATGCTTTCACTGCTGTTTGGTGGTTGTCTGTTTTTCTGTAAGCAGGATTAAGCAAGAACTACCAGGGGCAGTTCTGGATCACTTTCTTTAAAACTGTGAGGTAGGGCACTGGCCTTGATGGTGGACTGTGCTCTGAGTAAAATTGCATTTCACTCTATGATGATTAAACTTTGCAATTAACCCATGAACCACAAGTGTGCTGAACTGTGTGTGCGGATTCATTTGGATCACGGATCAACTGCGGCCCGTTACACCACTAACCTGTACTCTGGGGAAGTCATGCCAGCTGCGGTTTCTGAGGTTGGGAGGGGTGATGTCCGGGTTCTGTTTGCTGAGCAGCCACTGGGACCACACGTTCTGGTGGCTGGGCTTTAGGATAGTGATGCCAAACTCATCTGGAGCAGCAACAGACACAAACACATCCATAAGTTTCTCATCATTATCTGTAGAAAAGATCCGCTTGGAAGGTAGCAGAATGACAAAAGATAAGCCAACATGAAACAGTGAATTCATTAATAAAACACTATTAGGAGTGTTTCTTAAATAAAAACATGGCTAACTAACGAGATAAAACTTTACAAATTATCTCCTCTGGAATTTTACATGATGAATGTCATGTTTCCTGATTTACAAGATAATGAACAGTGCACCTTGTGCATCTGGCAGCGGTTCCTTCAGCAGCGCAATGGCAGGGTCAGAGTACGCCTGATAGAGCAGTTCCTCTACAGGGCGAGAGTTCAGCAGTTCAGTGCCTGAGCCATCTTCATGCACCAGAAATAACCTGGAAGACAAGATATGTAACAAAACCGTCTGTTTACTCCATAAAAGCTGTATATTGCCCCCTGACTTGTATTGCAAACATTGTTGGTTTAGACATTTCACAGTTGGTTATTGGTTGTTCCATTTCTTTTCCAGCAATAAAAACACCAAAAGCAAAATGAAAATGCTTTAACAGAACTGAATGTCAAAATTGAGGAGCTGCAGGTATACACATGCATGGAAGCCTACCTGGGACAATGTTCTCTGTGTTCCTCATGAAGTCTGGCCATTTCTCTGTCTTCCTCCTCCTCCAGCTCTTCCTCATCATGTTTGGCTGGGCTCGGAGCAGGACTGAAGTTCACCACTGAAATCTGCCCATCTTCCATCACCTGCAACACAAGTTTGTCAATGTTTCCAACACTGCGTATAACTCAACAGACTCTTCACTGAGTGTCTGTTGTTGTACAGCTTCACTAAGACTTCAAGAATAACACAAACTGCCTTTTACATCTGAATTCCAACAGACTTCTAGTGAAATATCTCCCATTCACTTTATAATCACAGACACTGACCTGGAAGTGGTTCCCATCAGGGTCTGTAATGTCACAGGCCACCTTGTCTGTGTGACTCATGGTGTAAGTTCCTGGCTGGTTTGTGGCGGTGCAACCCTTTGGACTGGGGGTTACAACTTGGTCGGAGGAGTACACACATTTTCCATCACTTTGGATCTGCAGGAGCCCAGCACTAGATGGGAACACCTTGGGGACAAATTCACACAATTGTGGTGACGGGTATCGACTAGTGTTTATGATTCTACCGACAAAAGTCAATGAAGAGACTAATTAATCTAATCCCCTCGGCTGATGCTGCTGCGGTCTGTGAACTCATCCATAGTTCAGTGTCCCAGCTGCAAACATCAAACCCTCAGTCTCTGATCGTCATCTTAGGAGACTTTAGCCATACATCGCTCTCTATCACTCTCCCCACATTCTGCCAGTGTGTGAACTGCCCAACCGGAGACGGTGGGGCCTTGGACCTGCTGTGTGCGGACACCGGGGATGCATATTCCTTAATTATTGTTATTTTCTTGTACTTTCTATGTTTTTGGATGCTGCTGTTTACAAAAAAATCCCAGGTGTGGGATAAATAAAGCATATTCTATTCTAATTCAAATTTGAAAGCCACTTTTTTTTTGAAGATTTAAGCTTTACTTTGGGGCCATCTGCTGGTCATATTGGGAATGACCGTGGTGGACAGCACTGAGATGAATGAGCCTCCACCAGTCATGTCTCATTGTTTTCTTCAAACAAAAACTAGTTTGAAACTAATTTCTAACTACACACACAAAAAAACTTCAAATATTAACTTCAAACTTGTGATAATAGCTGTCAGACACACACCTGATATTCTGCTTGGTTGTTCCCAGTGATGACGGTTCCATCGGCTAAAAAGATGTGAGCTGTGTGACGCTCTGGGTACATCACTACCGTGGCGCAGCCCTCCTTCTCCACCAGCACCACCCGCTCTTTGTTAGACACACTCCCCTTCTCAGTCTCACATTCGCTCATCTTATCATTCACAGTCTCCTCAGCAAACATGCTCTGCTTACCATTCTTAGGCGTACTACTTCCAATACGCTCCCTATCATCACACATTTGTTCACATTCACTCAGCTTCACACAGGCAGGTACAGTGTCCTCCATGTCACATGTGCTCTCTGCACTGTTCCTGTTAATCTCCTCTGTTTGGTCACGAGCATTCTGGATATGCAGATTCTCATTAATACTGTCCTCACATCGTGTGACACACAGACATTCAGTGCAGCCGCATACACATTGAGAGGCTGATTTAAGGTTTACACTTTCTGGAAGCACCCCTGGAAAGTAACAAACACAAAGACTGAGGTTAGATTTTTTTTTTTTTTTTAAATAAACAATAATGTAAATTAGGTGCATTTTTCTAGTGCACATGTGACTGACTCTCAAACTGTCCGTTACTGAATGTGGATGTGAGCTAAGGTCTCTCTGGTCACCTGTGTGCAGCGTCGGATTTAGTGGCTTCTCCTGGGAGATGCTAGTGATCCTGGTTCCATCTGCATGTTCTACAATTAGAGATCCATCTGGGTTGCGGACAGAAACCACCAGATCCTCTCGGGTCAGCATCACCTGAAACAAAAACAGATGCCAAGAAAGTTAAGGTAAAATGCACAAGGTGATTTCAGTGTGGAATTTTTCAAACTATATCAAATATCAGTATCACAATTGAATTGCCAATGTAATAGTGCTTTTTGGTAAGCTGTGTTACTCAGGAGTAACACTGCTCTCTTACCTGCTGGGTGATGGGGTCTGCAGCCTTGAAGGAGAGAAGAGAGGCGGTGGGTATTAGTTTGTGTGTCGTCCCAACAGTGCAGATGCGATCTCCTGATGGAGTCGTGGTTAGCCAACGCCCTCTCTGAGCCTCAGCCTCCTTCTCCGAGCTCTGCTCTGTATAGACACACACAAAACATACAGAGACAGGAGGACACAGTGTCATTGAAACTGATACTTAATTATCCTCCTAGCAAGTGTCCCATGATTTGTATTCAGCAGTGCTGTAGTCTAACCTCTCTCATTGCCCTCAGTGTCCTGATGAGAGTTGTCATCCTGAACCTCAGAGTCAGGGACCCACACTGGACCAGAATCCTGGCTGAAACTGACTGAACCATTGGCAAACAGCACCTGCAATACACACAGATGGAAATAATGACTTGTGTGCCTATGCAGCTACACTGCTACATGTTTATGGAGGAATATTCAGTGTCAGAGTTCAGTCTGTAGTACCAAACCACCTTTAGGTGTAGGTTATTGAGGATATCTGCCTCTATTTGAATGTATGTGTGTACCTCTGTCGATCCATCTCGCATGCAACGGATCACGGTTCCCTGGCTGGTGATAACACGGGACAGTTCTTTGGAGAGGGATGTGTCCTGAAGACGCCTCACCTTTCCTGTACCATGGAGAGGATAGCTTTGCCTCACCAAAATACCCTTGTCTTCTGGTGGTACCTCTGGACAAAGAAACACACACAAATTACATGTTCAACATGTGACAATGAATATACAGGGTGTGTAAAAACATGAATGGGAGCATATGAGTTATGGAATGTTACAATATTTCAATTTCAAATCACTTCATGCAAACTTCTATTTGCAAATATACTCTTTTGCAGACAACAGAGTGGCCAGATCGTCTTCTGCTGAAGCATGTAAGTAAGAGAATTTGAGCACAGGAGATGTGCAATTAGAATCTAGGAGGCAATGTGGCAGTTTATGAGTTTGTCTTCCCTTTCTGATGTTCCAAGGACAGACTGTAACGACTACAGCTTCATCAGTAGATTATTTTTCTCACTTCAAAGCACACAAGCAGTTCTGTAAAATTACACACATGTGGATACACACACCTGTGTATGAATGTGTATGCAGTCGGTGATTTGTTATTTTTTAACAAGAAGAAGGCCTAATGGGATCCCCTCCTTGCTCCCACATCACCAACCCACTCACACTCTGATGTAAATGGGGAATGGCAGCTTAACAAGGGGGATCCATTTTGGTAATTTTCCTTTACAAAGGGGATGGTTTCCCCCCCGATCTCCCCCTCAGCTCACCTACTGTGTGTATGAACTATAAATTCCCAGCAAAGTCCATCACTGACCTTGTGTGTCCTCTCGCAGAAACTGCAGCACTAGGCCATTAGGAACAGACATGCTGAGACTGTTGAATAGAGCTGATGGCGATGCTGGCTGGCCTTCACACCCCTTAGACATACATTACATATTGTTATTTGAGGATAATTCGACTATATTTTTCTCTTTTCAAGATTTTCTGTGTGTTCACATGCAGTATACATACTGTATGCATAGTGACTATATATATTCTTTTGCATGTTTATGTGTGTTTGTGAAACCTGGGACTCTAAAGGTCTGATCTGGCTGGACCGAGTTTGACATTTGGAGGGAAACGACTCCAGGTCTGGTCCCTTGGAGTGACGGGTGGAGGAGGAGTGAGGGATGGGGTCAACAACAGAAGCCTCTGGAGTTCCTCCTTTTGTTTCCTGGGAACTCACTAGAACATCACCAAATACAAACACTGTCAATGCTACCTGTACTGTGAAGAAACTTTATTTACTCCAAACTGAAATTATGGACAAGTCAATAAGCATTTTAACCTGTTTTCAACTTTAATTTAAAAAATCAAATATGTAAGTAAATACTGAAGCTAAAAAATGGCATGTATAGTAAAACACCTGTGTGTTCTCCTGTGGGACCATAGAAACTGTACGAGAGGTGGATTCTGTTATCAAGCACTGCTGAGAGGGAGCCTTGCTTTACCCTTTTCATTTCCACAGGCTCGAACTCTAAAAAGGACACACACACATGCACATTATTTTGGTTTACTCAAGAGTAATATTCACTAAATAACTTTACAATTCTACAAGGATGGATAAAAAAAGAATCCTAAGATTACAAAACAGCCACTCATGTAGCCAAGTCAGTGTGTTGCTTAATAGCTTTGCTGTGTCCAGCATCTTTACCTTTACAATCCTCTTTTGGATCAGCAATTTTTTTGTCTTGGGACTGAGGGGGAGGTTTCACAGGATCAACAACAACTTGGTTGATGTGCGTGTAGAAGTGATGCCCATCCTTTTTCACATCCAGTATCATTTGGCTGGAACCTAGAGTGGAAACATTATACAACACGTGTTAAAGAAAAAAAAATACTCCAAATATCTCCACAATGTGTAAGTGAGGAATCTCTGAGCTTTATTTTTTCTTGGTTCATAGTAACATTATTCTAATAATAGAGCAAAGCAAACAAATGCAACTCTTCTGCAGTTATTTTCATTCTTAAACAAATGTATCATCAGGAGGTAGAGACAAAATGCAGAAACAGTTTAGCTATTCAGAACAGATTCTCTTGTAATGTACTTTCTTGTGTGGGCATCATATTGTACAGGGAAGCTCTTTGCTGGGATGTTCTTGAATACTAGTTTTTAAAATTTGATTAGATGTAAGCAGTTAATTGTTTATTAAAATCACGTACAAATGTGCAGATATTTTACAACCCCAGTTTGTCTCTATACCTTCAACAAAGCTGACATTCTCCACAGTGATTTGCCCTCCATCTGACGGGAAAAGATACTGGAGACAGCCTGACACGTGGATCAGCTTCCCATCCATGCTGTAGCCTGTGAAACCCTACACATACCACACACAGCCATAGACACCTCGTGATATATCACTTCTCAGTTAACAACATCGATTAGCTGCTATCTGAGTTCTGCTTATCATTTTCCAATGAAAACATAAGCTCAGTTCAATAATGGTTTTTGAGTGTGCGCCCTCACATTAAAAGGTTCCTCTGTGTGGTGCAGTTCTTCGTTATCGTCCACAGGGGGTGACTCTGTACGAGTCTTGGCTGAGCTGTCTGCTGTCTGTGGTCTGCTCTTCTTGTTGTCCTCCTGCTTTTGCTGCTTGGCTTTAGGCGTATTCTCTTTCTTTGACTTTTTGGCCATCTCTTTGTCCTTTAGCCTCTCCTGCTCCAACTTCCAGGCCTGTAACATCATGCACACAATAAAGCAAATGCTGTTAACGTGTCGGAGACTATGAAGTAGGGACTTATGCTTTGGAGAGTTTGGATCAGGTCAGTCTGCTTCTGCTCTATTTTTGGCAGATAATAAATAATCCAAACTCTACTTTAGGGAGAAAATAATGGCTGGCAACAGTCAGTGGGATTTGCAATTATGTCAGTTGGAACTGGGCCAAACTGGTGTACTGGCCAAACATTTCATTTTAAGTGATCAGTGATAACTCTGCTTCCACGTCAGAAAATATTTGAAGATTGAAGCATCAGTTTGGTTGACATCCTAACACAACTGTATTAAAACATGATTTTCATGTAGAAACTAAGGGATGGATACAAGGGTAAGTGGTTTACAAGTTCCACTTCTGATTATTGTGTGTGTTTGTGTGCTGCCTGGTACTGACTTTAAGGGAGTCTTTTCTGATGACTGGTTCAGGAGTTTCCTCTTCCTCTACAGAACATTCATCTAGTTCAGAAACAAAACAAACATTACATTATACAATTATAAGTACAGTAACGCTGCCAGAACCTGGTATTGACAACTACAACACAGTGCCTTTTGGAGAATCGGCCAGGCTGCGGTTCTTGATTTGCATTGCCTCTCTCTTTAATTCCTCCTCTTTTGTCCAATCTGAAATGGTATCGGCCACATGTTCAAGATATTTTCTGTGACAAGACAGAAAGAACAATGTCAAGCTGTTTGCAGTTTCCACACAAAATTGCACATATGCACCCTTTAGTGTTTTAATTAGAAGCTAAGCCCATCTTAATTCTTCTGTGTAGTATAACTGAAATATTGTTGATGATTTATCAACAGTACATGACAGACTAATATGATAAACAACTTGTTCTGTCACATTCACTGTACTGTAACGGCAACAATAGGATCCATCGCAGTTATCACACAAGAAAAGGCCTTTCACTGTTGATCCTGTGACAAGCAAGCACTTGAAAATGAGAGCTTAAACTCTGACCTGAATCTGACATCAGTGTGAAGAGCCACATCCCAGAACTCTTTTGACTGGCGATGAGGACTCATGGGATTGTGGCAAAAAATGTACAAGATCTTTCTATGGCTTCCTCTGAAGGTGTCCATGCAGCGATATTCTTCTGAGGCTGACTGAAGCACCTACAAATACAGAGAATCAAAGTAAATATCAAAATCTAAATGTCTGGCTTAAAGCACATTAAAACAGTAAAGAATGCATTTGTACTTCTCATTTTGCTGTAGTCTATAAACCTTTTGTTAGTGTTAGTGCACTGCTACATTTTAGATAAAAAGCCCACCAAAAAGTGAGCTTAGTTGTAAATGTGAAATACCTGCAGTACATTTAATCTGGTAGCTATGGCCGTGGTTTAGCATAAATTATATTACATTAAGATTGCACTGATGCACATTACATTACACAATTAACACGATTACATGACGAATAAGGTCGAAACTGTAACTCACCTGTGGGAAAATACTGGCATCGTGGTGTTCAATGCAATGCCAATCAAACAGAGATCTCAGCCTGCAACTCTGCATGTCAGATAACTTCAGCTGGCTGCACACTCTCCCACTGCAATTCTGGGAAAAAACGCATTATTGGCAAGAAAATCACATAAAAGCTTCTTATGTTTTTCATGAAAATGCACATAACATGAATGTAGGTACATGAACATAAACATATAAACAATACCTCTGTGCTATCAGGGTCTTCAGTAAGAAATGTTGGACCTACAGGGGAAATACATTGAGGCATTGTTGTGTAGTTGAAAAAATTGTCATATATACAGTTAAAATACTTGACATGTGACATGTGATTACGGAATGTAAACCAGTGGCATGAAATCACAGTAACTGAATTAACCCGTGTCGTCAGAGACCTTTATTCTGCAGATTGTGAAACTGCTGTTTTGCATAGGATAATGGGTTGTCCCAGGGGATTATCGAGGTCTGCTGCTGTGCTGGTTCCAGTGTTCCCAGTAGTCGAGCATCATTCGCTAATACCCCCTGCTGGTCCAGTGTGGTCAGTGGCATCGTCTCAAACACACTCTGATGAAACAAACGCTCCACCTCCGACCATGACACGATGTCTACAGGATATCATTACATCATATTGTCATTTGGAAGTAAATTAAGCAGCTTTTTCACAAGAAAACATCTCACAGGAAATACATATTTGGATCGATACTGTTGAAATTAATCAACAGTTGACAGCTTCTAACCATCTGCGCAGTAGTGTTGTAGCTGCTGTCTGACTGACATCCAACAGGAGCTGCTTTGCCTCTGCTGAGCCACCGACTGAATCAGCTCCCACACTGGAGTCTTCTTCATCATGGACAACTCCACCTCTGCTGGATCGAAACCCTCAACCACCTAAGAGGGTCACACAAACCACTAAACTAAACCGGAAACTCCTTTGTCTTATATACAAATTCAATTTTCACAATAAGAAATCCATTTAGTGTAGCTGTTAACATTAAAATAAATCAACTTACACTGACGTCCCTCAAGCGTAGCGCCCTCTCATCGTGGTGTCTGATGACCAGAGGCTCGTCAGACTTCTTCTGAGTCTCCCCTGGTCCAAACTTCTCCAGTAGCCTCTGACACACAAGACAGTGAAGACACAGAGACAAACCAATGACTTTCATAGTGTGAGTAAAACTGAAAACCCTGGAGTCATAAGAGAAGCTCTTAATGATGTTTATTGATGCTGATTATTCTAGAACTGAAAGTGTTGACCAGATGTAAAGAGAGAAAACACTGAGATAAGAGCTGATAACAGTTGTAAACAGCTGCCTAATGACAGTTGTGATACTTGGAATAAAAACACTTTGAGGAAAAGGAGTTCCTGAGAGATTTGATTCAGTAGATGAAGACTTCATCTGAAACACCAAAAATTAAAGTAAAATCATTTTTCTCACATTGTTCTCTTCAAGAACCAGCTAATAAAACGCTATATTAACACGTGAGGTCTAAAATGACAATTCTACTTCACTTTAACCTGTTAAATTCAAGTTTTTTTAATGTAATTATGTGTGTAAATACGTGACCTAGGAGACGATAGACTACTGTGTATTAAGTAGTGAAGTAAAGGAGAGGAACATATACATGGAAACCTATCAGAGGATACTGCAAGTGTGGTAAATGTTGGAACTGGAGGTAAACTCTAAGCTATATTTAAGGATTTCATACGCAGGGATGTACTTCAGAATCACTGCTCTCTACTCTCTACTTTGAATACAGCACCATCTGCTGGACATACACTGGTAGGTATCTGTGCTGCAGCTACTTTCTTGTATGTGTCGTTATTGTGGCCATATGCAATGAAACAATAAGATTTCTCCTCGCAATAAAGCTGAAAACCAAGAAAATGACAATATAATTTAGATATTTTTTGTTTTCTCACACCTGGAGCTTAATGTAGAATGTATATTAAATGTGAACCCCAGAAAAAAGGACTCTGAGTTTCAGCAGGTGCTTGATAACTAAAATGTAAACAACGCCTCATGCTTTAAGATTATGTTCTTTGAAGGACATTCCTCGGTTGGATGATAGCTCAGTTGTGGGGTCAAACAGAAAAAATGTCAGTTTGAGTTCATCAAGGGTCTGATGTTCAGTCATTTTAATGCATGTATTTTTGTTTAGTTAACCTAAAAAATGTGTTCATGTTAAAAAAATAAGAAATGAGAGAGGACACCGATTTCCTCCCACATGTTCTGTCTGCTGAAAGAATGAAGCATTTCACCCTCCCCCGCATACGTCACATCGTAAGCCCACCCCGCTGCTGCAACAACCCGATCATCCTAACAGAGGAGCTGCCCGGGGATTGGCCGTCGGCTTGCGACTGATCCTGCCCACTGAAATACGAGCCACTGAACCGCTCAAAAGGCTATGAGCTGCATTGGCCGGGAATCGAACCCGGGCCTCCCGCGTGGCAGGCGAGAATTCTACCACTGAACCACCAATGCTGCATATGTTGCAATACCTGCTACACATGCCAGATATACATTATTGAAGGTATATGTGTTCTGAATATCTACATATATTCACTCTACCTTCCTGTCTTCTTCATTATCTACTGTAGCTACAAGACTATTTAACATGTGGCTTCTCTCCTCTTCTGTGTGCACCAGAGGTAGGAAGCTCTGTAGCATGTAGCCAACTAGCTCATGGTGTAAGGGGGGACCACTGGGAGGCTTGGTCTCTGCCACCGTATGAGATCTGGTGGGCAAAGGCTGCTCTGTGGAAATCGCCACCTGGAAGCACAATGACATACACATGCAAAACTGTTAGAAGTCACACACATTTACCTGCAGACTGCAGCTCCCACAAACTGCTGATACAAATAGTGAGCTAACACTATTCACACGTACCTGTTCCAGCATACAGTCCAGGATCAAGGGCACAGAGCAGGCTTCAGGGGGAACCAGGTCCAGCAGGTTGCTATAGTAACACATGTCGACATCTATAGAGAGAGGAGGCAGCTTGGTCTCTGTCCACACAGAAGGGAGGATAGAAAAGAAGAAAGGTTAGGGTGTCATCCTGCTCTGAGTCTTTAATTCAAGGCTATGCCAACAATACAGGGAGGATTAGTAATAAGAAGGAAAGGTCAACCATGGCCTGATGGGCTCTCCTCCTGAACCAGCTTCTCCTTGGAGCGCGGGGTTGCACGAAGAACAGTTGGCACATCCTGGCACAAGAAACACACAAGCTTTAATATAGTGGAACTATGCATTCAGTATCAAGCCAGTTAATCAGTCTCCAGTGGGAAAGCTCTAGTTACTATTTGGATGCACCATATGGTGCAAGATAACTTAATATATTCTGTGCTCAATGAAAGGAATACAACTGGCAATCATTTCATGCACCACGCACTAATGCAAATACAAAGCTGCTATCACAAGATGAATTGTGCAGCTGCTTCCACTGGTATTAGCACTGCAGCCACTGTGAAAGGTTTAATTAGAAGGCTATGAATGGTTTATAAAAACAGCTGTAGTTGACCGAAATTGCCTGTAGCTATTCTGATAATCAATTAATCACTTAAACCTCTTCTTTTTTTTTTTAATCAAAAATGCCAAATGTGCCAGTGCCAGTGTTACTAGCTTCCATCTATTTTTGTTTTCATATTCTGCTGTTACAGTACACTAAAGAGCTTTCAGTTTCGAACAGTCAGTAGAAAAGAAACTCAAAAACAGACTATGGTTTGAATGGTTGTAGTGGCAGTAACACTGGATCGAACACAGTGGCTCCATAACAGCTCCAGCAGCCCCAGTGGCCTAATGGATAAGGCACTGGCCTCCTAAGCCAGGGATTGTGGGTTCGAGTCCCATCTGGGGTGTATAGCAGAGTGATACAGCAGAGGAAAGCTTGGCACATTACCAAGCAATTGTATGAATTGAAAGCATCCTCTGCTATACCAGCATTTTAATGTAGAAACAACACATTTGGAGTTGTTCGACCACTGCCTGGACAACAAAATACATTTGGAGGCATCACATCCGCCTGTGGGAAACATACAGTGACCAAAGTTACTAAATTCATGAGGAAAGTGACCAGCAGATAAATGAGTAATTGCGGCCGTTTTTCCAGGTTAAATGACTGATGCACGTGTGTACTCCTGCGTGTACCTTTACAGGTTGTGAATCCAACCCAATCACAGTGGGCACATCGATGACTTTGACATTGTCCTGGTAGTGCTTGTGCTGCCTGCGCCAGTCCAGACATTCATAGATGAGATTGGCTACACCGCCAAAGATTCGGCTTCCCAACTGCAGCTGGACACAGTGCAGCAAAACACAGGAAGGATTCAAGCTACAAATCAGGTCACAGCCAATGTGAAACTGACAGCAAAGCAGAAATACTGTTGCAGACAGATTGATAACGCTTGAGAACAACAACAAGAAAAGCAAAAAGTGATAAGGTACAAAGTTCTATTCAAGAAACTCAACAAAAGGATAGAATAGTCCTATGAACCACATTGTGCCAGAGCTTACTCACCACAGCCTCGGGGTCTTGTGTGTTGAAGGGAAGCAGCAGATCAGGGACTGTGTAGCTGAGCTGAACCACATCATAAAGCCTGGAGTCTGGTGGACCACTGTCCAAAACTGGTCTCAGACCTGACCAGAACAGATCCACCTTCTTGGACTGCACAGCCTGCTCTACACTGACATGAACTTTTGCTTCTGGAAAACGCAGAGGGGATAATAATGTAATATAGATAGCAACATATAATAAATTTGAAGGAAATATATATATATATATATATGTGATCATTTTGAATCTATGTAAAAACTCTTCTACAGCTTTGATTTCCTACTTTTACAGCTGTAAAGACGTCATACACACAGTACATTGAAGACTCTTTACCTGCACCCAGAACTGAAGATGCTCTCAGGCTCTCCTCCTTTCCCTCACAGCTATGTTGTTCCTCGTGACCACTTAATGTTTGGGGGTGCTCCGAACACAGTTTGATGACACTGGCTACATGCACACCGATGACATCAAGCGCCCTGATCAGGTGTGGCTGGTAGAAGCCCAGCAACAGAACATAGTGTTGTGGGCCATGATCTGGCTCATCATCTGTACCCACACACAAATAAACACAAAACTAAATATATTACCAACACACACTACTGCTCTATACACTTATTGTTCAATTAGCTGGTTTATTTTTTGTATATTTTCCACATTTCCGTTCACAAAAATGTATGAACCCTCCTGCAAGACTAATTTCAGAATGGAGCAATTAAAGTCATCAGGGCACTAATCCAAACAATGCTGCAGGTAATTAATGTGCAATGCTGGCTTTATATAACTTAAGCACAGTTGTTTTACACAAGTTTTTACCTATGTAGTTAGGTGGCTCAACATCATCCCTGCGTTTGAGCTTGGTTTTCTTCTCCTTGGAATGTTCCCGAGGTGAGGGGGCACCCTTTCCCTTTTTGTCAGAGACCTTGGCCACACCTTTGTCCGTGGCCTTTTCTCCCTCACCCTTTAACACAAGCTGACAGAAAATCATACAAAACTGACCCCATCAAAATATTTTCTCTGTCAGAGCATGTGGAAGAACTACAGTCATCATGACATGCATTGTTGTTGTGTGAAAACTGTTTCACAGTTGTACTGTTTCATTATTGGCTGTTGAGGTTTGATGGGTACTTGGTGTACCTCCAACTGTTATAATCAAGAAGCACGGTGTAAAAGGCAGATTAGTCAGCAGTTTTGTAAAGAGGGAGGATGCCACACAGTTAGTTGAGCTCAATAAAGCCTTTTAACTGTTGATTTGAAATGTTTTTAGAACGCCCTTCTGAAAAACTGTTTGTCTTTGTGGTGCTCCTTCGGAATTCTTTTATTTTTTTGCATTGTAGAGCTGTTTGTTATTGTGTAAAAGGAGAGGATTATTTATGTCTGCTTGGAGGGACAAGTAAAGTCACCTGTTCTTCTGTCTCTATGTGGATTTGAGAGAAACCCTTCAATGTGGGACAAATGTGCAGTAAAATGTTAAGAAGTAGAAAAGTAGAAAACAAATCAAATAGGCAACCTGGTGGATCAAACTTATGATATTATTGCCAGCATGAAATGAAATGAAAATGAAATGAATGAAATGAAATGAAATGAAATGAAATGAATGAAATGAATGAAAATGAAATGAAAAATACTTTATTCATCCCAGAAGGGAAATTCAATTCAAAGCATGGCTTGTACTACACTTCTTTCAAGTCAAAAAATGTAAAACCTGAGTCAAATCCCACTGCTCACCAACAATATGACTGTATTATAAAGGAATTATCAACACACAGAATCACACGTATGAAGAGGAACTCACCAGCTCAGCTTCTCTCCTCTGCTGATCGTTGGCTTTGATCTGTAGCAGCTGGAACTTCAGTATTTTTGCCATCAGGTCACAGGGGATCTCCTCTCCTGCATCCAGCAGCACCTTAGCAGGTTCTGTCACCTACAAAATATACAAGCACACATGCATGCACATAAACAAACACACAGATTAAAGCACACAAACACACTTTATTATTTTGTACCACTTTACTCCTGTGAAACATTTCAAGCTTACCTCATAGAACATGGGGGTGTCATCAGTTTTTTTTCCTTTGGGATTCCCCAGTTCATGGATCTGTAAAGAGAAAGTTTTCATTTGACAAAATACAAGCCATGATAGCTACTTCTAGTTCGCTCAAACACCGTAAAACTACTCTGTAATACTGCAGGAATTCAGCCATACACGTTCAAACCCAAAACTGATTCCAAAGATTAACAATGAAACCTTATTATTCCTTAGGTTTGTCAATATAAACCCCCTGAAGTCTAAATCTGTATTTTTGAGAGTCATTTGTTTGAAGGAGGCATACATAATAATAAAAACAAGGAATACCTTTGCAAGGGTGCTGTCCCAGGTTATCAAGCTGAAAAGTTTGCGTTGTGGTTGCTGTACGGCCAAAGCCAGCGCCTGGATAAGCTCTTCCTCCTCCTCTGGACTTCTCCCAACCACCAGAGACACGCAGGCCTGCCACGAGTCCTGGGAAGGGCATTCAGAAACCAGTATACAAGATATTACTGCAGTATATGCACATCCATCAACATCTCAACAGCTGAAGATTTCCTCCTGCCACATCCTGTTTCCATATATTCCCATTGCAGTTAATTGACAGGTAGCTTTCCGAGGCACCTCCAGTGGAAGGACAGGGGGTGACTTCACTAAAACTCTAACTTGTTTCATGACCGTTTGTAGAAGAGACTCGTTCTGTGCTGTATGCTGCACCACTAGAGGTTTTAGGTGGATTAAACAAACACGAAAAGGACAGTAAATCACAGGACTTCAACTGAGCAAACTTACAAATTATTTACATTTACTTATTTCTAATATTTATACTCATAAAAACATTTAAGATGCTGCAGTACTTCAGCTTTAGACCTTCAAATTAAAAGCTCAAAACATCACAGTGGCCGTTTTCTGCACATATAACGTCAATTACGATCATTAAGACTGTTTAGCAGCACATTTACAAGAAGCTGACTCAGTTAACGATGCTTAAAAAAACAGTTTTGACAACCAGTTTGAAAGTTAAGACTCCATTTCAAATCTTTTCTTTTACCTGAAACGCACCTAAACGAAGACTGTAGCTAGCTGCTCCGGCAACTTGTACAAGTTAGCTAACTAGCATGTGAAGCTAGCTCTACGAGATTCATATATGTGACAAAACGGACACGAATTTAGTAAAAACCAAAGAAAGTAGTCAGTGAGACGACAAACCTCCTCAAACGGAGCCTTGGTGAGTCCAGCCTCCCAGTTCTTGTTGACAACCGCGGATCCAGAGGTGTTGCGCTTTTTAGCAGAGCCCTTCTTAGCCGCCTTTGGTGGCATTTTAGCTCAGTAGTCACTAAAAACATACAATGCTGAAATTATTTATACAGCAATCAAGGTAGAAGTCTAATTTTAAGTTCCAAGTTGTGACTTACAGCGTCGTCGCCTGTACTTGTGTTGCCACGGTAACCGAGGACTCCAGCGTCAAGCAACGTTACCAAGGTGACACGTCCTGTGGACCGTCAGAACAAAAGCATGAAGTTACACACAGGATGTTTGAAAGTATTTTTTAAAAAGCAGATCATGAAAGAATTATGTGTAATAAAATACTTCATTTGGTTCAAGTGAATATTATTTATATATATCTAACTATAGTAGTACATGGTGCAGTCATTTCACAAAGAAGAAATCAATGCAATGCCTGCAAAAAGTTTTCAGTTTGGAAGTCTTCCCCTTTCGTTGCTTTTTAAGATCCAATCAAAAAATGTAAATACTATTTGGTTCCAAAGTAAATACAAGCTTCTACAAAGCAATGTTGATTAATAAAAAAAACAATCTTCACAGGTACTGTAAATGCTTACCATCTGTTACCCACACTTAACCAAAGACTCTAACATACACACAGGTAAATGAATTTTTAAATGTGTCTGTAATGCACTCAAGACATCCCTGCAGACTCTCAAACCTGCACTGATATCAACAAAATAAGATAAAAGGTAAGGTAAGGTCAGGTAATGTCCAGTAAGGTGAGGTGAGCTGAACTTAGACTGACTTTATTCAACCCAGAGGGAAATGAAGTTGTTACAGCAGCATGAATATTCAACACAGGGGGTAAACAAGAATAAAGACAACACAGAATATTAGGGTAGGGCATAAAATTAAGGCAAAATAAAGTAAAATAAGATAAAAAAAAATATAGAAAATATAATATAAAAGAAAGTCAACAAAATTTACAAGATCTGAGGTAAGTTAAGCTGAGCTAACATAAATTTTCTTGCCCCAAAGAGAAATCTTCTCTGGCCAGTAGTGCAAAATTTCCAGTTCTGTACAACTGCAGACAATGCCATAACAAAACAAACACATTGACACATCAAAAGTTCAGACCGAGCCACTGTTTATTGAACAGCATGATAGAAGTAGGAATAAGACAGTTGAAAACATTTACATTTGCAGGCTCTGTAACATCTACCTAACAGTAGTTAGGTTCCAGTCTAGAAATAAAATGTGTGAGGGGTCCGTCAGGATCCTGGGTGCATGTCTGACCACAGCAACTAACAGTCAACAAACTTCTTAACCCCACCAGAGTAGACTTTTGTCCTATGTCACTATAAACTAGTTCTAATTAAACAGGTGTAATTTGCTTCAAAGAAAATCCTAAATGCTGTGCTTTTGTTTTTTGTTAATAATTTTCTTTGTAGTCAGATTATATTTGCATATGTTTGATCACAGATATTGTATTTCTTTAATAAGATTATTGTTTCCCTCAGTATGGCATGTAATCACTTTCCTCCACAGCCTTTGTTGGCTGAAGCAGGTCTCGGCTGTCCTTGACAGTGTCTGCCCTTCAGTGCGTACTGATGCCCAGCCAAGCCTCGCTCTAGCCCGTGCCCCCTGGGCCTGTCCTGCTGATGGCGAGGCCGGCAAATATCTGCTTATCTCTCTCCCCCACCGTGCTCTGATACAAGGACTATTGGTATCTGTCCAGGAGATGCCAAGTCAGGAAAAATGGAAGTCATGGGGGAGAGAGAGGACTGCAAATATAAGAGGGTCATTCAGAGAGGAGGATAAAGATGTGGCATTTTGTCCTCAGCTCTTAGCAAATACGAATGATATCATTCCATCTTTTAGATGTAGCAGAGTCAGGATTATTTTTTTTTTCAGTTAGGCTCAGCTCAAAGCTCTAAATTACTGTCCACATCTACTTTTTTATCAGCAAGTCAGATATGTCAGGTGCTGTGCTTGTTGATGACTGTTTCATCAGCTGGAAAAGCCAAGACGTCCGTAACAAGTCACATGCTGCTTGTGGATCGTTGTCCTTCTCTTTCTTAGGGGCTTGGAGAACCTGGAAGACATTTTGGGGGACGAGATCACGCTGTCGCACACGTCCATCCAGAGCATGCAGTCTGAAACTACGACGACAGCCTCGTCTTTCTTTTTTCATCTGTGTCATTTGAACACAGCTGCATTTTAAGGTGGTCTTAATTTAAAAAGACAGTCTTTTAACCAGTGGTTGGGTAGTCGGGCCACAATTCTAGCTGGCAGAACTAACCAACTAGAATTCTTTTCGTTCCTAAAACATTTTGAGACAGTTCTGCAGAGTTCTAGCAATGTTTTCAGTGGGACGTTTTATTTTAGCTCCTAGAATGTTCTTCCTAAAGGCATTTAAATGTTTGTAGAACATTTTCCAGATGTTGCACTGAGAACATCCTTCCCCTTTTTTTCATCATGTGATATTGCAGGATTTATAGAAGAAATGTCTCAACAGCAACGTCCCCAAAACATCCTCAGAATATTACAGACAAAACATTCCTTTGTTAACATGTCACATAACAGAAAACATCCCCTGAATGTTCTCTCTAGCTTCTCTTTTAACCTCATAGGACCATTACCTAAAATGACAAATATTCTGAAAATGTTCCTGAACAACAGATTTAAATATTTCCTTGAACACATAATCGAAACGTGTAGGTAATGTTAGCCAATGTTGTGGGAACGTTTCCTGCTCGGTGGATAAACTGTGGATGAACTAAACTGTCAATAATTTATCAGCTCAAACAGCACATCTTTCTAAACTCACCGTGACAAACACAGCAAGAGGGAAGTTTAACGCCACGAAATTACCAAACGACTCAGTTAAATAAGCTTCAATTGTCTCGAACCATTTGGAAATTAATTTAAATATTATTTTTCTTCTGACTGCAACGGCTAACGGGCACTGTAGCTAGCTGCTAGGGCAACTTGGAAAAGTTAGCTAACTAGCATGAGTAGCCAGCAAATGAAAGCAGTACAATATTCGCTTTACGCCACAAAACTGAAATATTTGCAATATTTTTTTTTAAAAAAACAAAAAAAAACGAATTACACCTAAGACAGTGATAAATGAGATGACAAACCTCTTCAAATGGCGCTCTGGTGACACCAAACTGCGGCTTTGGGGGCTAAAGCTTATTGATCATTCTGGCTGCGTTCCAACTAGTGGAGGCCCCGTTATTGTTCACGCTGCGTCCCTGTCCAAAGTTACGGTGACACTTAATGGAACCGCGCCATCGCTCATATTAATTCCACATCTTCTTGCAGTGATGAGTTAAAATACCTGCTGTGAAAACGTATTTTAAGCTTTTTAGAAGTCTTTTAAGTTGCCTGTGAGGGAATTTATTGTGGGTGGTAATTTAAAAAAAAAAAAACCTGATAGGTCATACAAGGCAAAGATCTAATTCTCACCTGTGCTTGTGTTGCTCCAGCATGAGGGACTAAATAATAAATAATAATTTAAAAAAAATGTAAAAAAAAAAATACAAGCACAAAAGCAAAACATATAAGGATTATGTGTGTTAAAACGATTTTTTTCTCTCTCTCTCTTTTCTGTTTAAATTGAGTATTGTTTCAGTCTACTGTTGCAGTCTCTTCTTTCCTCCACTAGATGGCAGTAGAACACACTCTCATCAACACAACGCCTCCTGATTCAAGGCCCCAAATAACAGCAGCAACCTACACAATATTTCACTGTTTTATATTTAAATTGAGACTATTGTAATTCCAGCCATTCCACAAGGAGGCAATCTACAAATTCTTACCTTCTGGCATCCAAAACCAAACACTCCAACATGCACACACAGGTACATAAACTCCTCTTTAACAGTCTAATGGCCAGAGCTATGTATGTGGTTAAAGTCAATCTGTTTGGTCCAGTCACTTGAATGAAGCACCTACTGAACAGCTGGTCTGAATTCGATGCCAGAAGCAGTGACTCGGCATATTCTGAGAATGTAAATTCAGTCCAATAACAAGGTAGCGGTTATTTATAGCAGCACTAATATCAAGAATCTGTCGTTCTGCTTGATATACAGCATTGTATAAATCTGAAGTAAACTGCAAATCTGCTTGTGATCATAATGATGCAGCCTTGATCAGGTTTTATTTAAAGAAATAAAGATACTGAATGCGAATTTACTGAATACTCCCACCTAGCTAACAATGATTCTGTATTAAATGAATGGTAATGAACGGGGTTGTGGCCACTTCACCGCCCCCACACACTCTCTTACAACAATCAGACGAGCAACAGCAGTTCCTCATAATGATCATTTTTATTCTTTTTAGTGCGTCCGCAATTAGCATCCAGTGCTTTGAAATGAAAAAGATCAGTCAATTGTGAAATAAAAGAGAATGTGATCGATTAACTTGTGAAAAATCTGTATTCAGTTGAACACCTTCTTATATATTTTCAAATTATAAAACCGAAAAAGAGGGCTTTGACGGTTGTTAGTGTGATTTAAAGGTGGAGATGGGTGTTTCATGACTGCATTTTCACAGTTTACTGAAGAAGAACAAACATAAACTATGATCTTTAAGCACTTCTTTAGAGTTACCGTGCAACCCAGCTGCAATTTTAAAAGGAACAACCAGCAACACTGACCCTACAGAGTCAAACTGGCTGTTTATTTTATGTTTTCTTGAGATATTTGTCTTGGCTCGTGTTCCCCCTTTGCAAGTTGGAAGCTTATTTGGATTGCACAGAGCTTTGCAGATTTAGAGAGGTCCACTCAAACCAGAAAAGATGCCCCACTTAAAAATGAATAACATATACAATGAATGGGCTTCTGTTAATGGTGACTCAGCAGCAGTGATTTCATGGAGTCCTTCTTGCTCATGCATCACATCTCTCTCTCTCTATCAAGGTCATGGTTTGGCACAAATTTCCATTCGGTCCCCCTTTCGGAGCAGCTTTATCGATACAATGTCGAGATTTCATCCGAGCGGTGACCTACTTACAGCAGCTCCCCATAAAAGGTCAGAAGTGAGACAACGCCCACCTGTCAGATGCCAGAGAAATCCATGTTTGAAGCCAGCAGTTCATTAGTTATGGAGGACTTGTCAGCTCCAAACCTTCCAGAGGCAGCGTCCTAGACAAAGGTCACACTCACACACACACACAACAGTCAGATAAACACTGTAGTGACGATTAAATAACAGCCCCATGCACACCGCTGCAAATAGCATAGCAACATCTCAAAATATCCACTTTTTTAAAGGATACACTGCTGTTAAATATGAGCGTCATGTGCTCGTCCGGGGCTATTTTATTTCATTTAACAGCAGTCGTAACGGCTTATTTAAGAATTTCTTCCTCCAGTTAACATAATCCAACGAGGCCAAGAGGTGCTCAAGATTAAACACGACGATGGCGAAGAAAATAAGACGCGTCGCTCTTTTGGAAGGGCACTGCTTGTACTTCACATGCTGTTACACTGCGTACCTCCAACTATCATGAACCTATCACCACACACAGCAATCAGTATTAAATCATGTGCTCATAAACTGCTTCGCACTGTATTTAGAGGACAGGTGGTGTTTCATATATTAGGTTGATCCGCAGCTCATAAAGCATCATTGAGGTTGGGAAGGAAAAACATGACATAACCAAAAGAGAACTGGAGCCCAGTGCATTTTAATGTAATCCAGTGAACCATTCCTGCAATAAATATGAACCCAGTGGATTTATAATTGCTGCTGAGCTTAGCTGAGAGGTGAAAGGTTTTAAGATTTGAATTTCAATCCTTGGTAATCATGTGATACGATGTCATTAGGGAGCAAACAGGATGCTCCTGTTTACCAAGACATCCATTAACAGCCTTCTCTGGCTGGAGGTTTTATTCTCGGGGTTTTTCTGCTTTGTCACTGTGAAGTAATCGCACCTGATAGAAAATGATACTTTGGCAAACTGAGCCACCTCTGTGACATTTTAAATCAACTCTAATATGGCTTTTAGAAGTCAAACATTGTTAAAATTTAAGTTTTCTGGCGCAAAATGAGCATTACATAACACCACATTATGTAATAATTATACTTTTTGTTATAACTACGGATATTTTAAAGTGACACAGTGATGAGAGGCACTGAGAGTATCTTGTAAATGAACATACAGCAAAGATGATAATGCAAAGGGGGGAAATAACAGTGTTGTTTACATAGTTTGTACACAAACACTTGGGAAACAGATAAACATATCTGGATCATCAAATAACCTCGAGTCCCAGTGTGACATGCATGCAGCCTTGAGCCAAGTTCATCAGATTTCCATCTTCCCAGGAAGAGCTCGTTCTGAGAGTCAGGAGGAAACATGGAATGGAGCCCGGCTCATCTCCCAGGAGTCGGGAACAAACAGGCCTATCTAGGGACTCGGTGTGGACGGAGGAGCTGGTAAACATCTGCAGGTTTGTGCTGTGTAGGCAGCAGCCACGTGTTAATCTGTCTGATCGATGTGATTGATCCCTGCAGCTGTGGCCGCGAAGGACCTCTTTCACCACACGGCACTGTGACTGTAAGCCACACTGTGCGGCCCGAGATGAATCATGTTGACACATCTCAAGTGCCGCCGATGGATTGACGAGCTTCAGCACATACGAGCCGCCAAGTCAGTACAGTGCAGCTCAGATTCTTCAGCAGCGTGACGCGGCCTTCAGTACTTTTCCATCCGGAGTTAATGGACTGTCCTTAACTAGAAACATTTGCCACCTATGTTTGTCTTTGGACGAAGAATTCAAAATACTTTAAAGAGACTCGTTGATAAAGGTCCTCATCAGGCGCAGTGGGTGGGATGGAGTTTAGCAAATAACAGAAGGCTTAAGAGCAAATTAGACATTAGTTCCATGCATTTGAAGACATTTACATGCACAATTTGGGATATTTTGCCTCCATAACAAGTCTTTTTTTCAGATAAGCAAAGAGAAAACATCCAAAATACATATTTATGTGCTTGTTTCACTACATTCTGTCTATTTGCATCTGTAGAGTTCAATCATAATGCAGATCCCAAAATGGGCTTTCTCTCATATTATGTCTAAATCTCCATTTCAGCAGCACTTTGATGCAACACACTTTGAGTTTTTTATTCCCATCTATACCCTGAAGGTTTTAGCAGATTGCTTTGTTAATATATCATTTGTACACTGATTTATGAAATATTTTTTTACCCCAAAAACATGGTGAATTTGTTTTTTCTGGCTGTTGACAGTGATAGTAACAGCTTTCCAAAATCTGCTTATTAAAAATCTTTGACCACAACATCTCAAACAAAACATTAAACAAGAATTCTGAAGCTGCACTGAAAATTGAGAATTGTGGGATCACCTCTATGAACCAGTTAAACTGGTAAAACATACCTGCAACAATGTTCTTCACATTAAGTTGACGAGTAAAATTGAAGCCACTTTATTTCATTAAGTTTGATGGACTCAGTCATTTTAATCCTCTCAAATGAGGCGTGCTGCAGCTTAAGAAAAATCAACTTGAAGTTTCAGATTTTTCCAACTTAAGTGCTTTCTTCCCCCAAATGTAAAACCTGAAACATGATTTTGTCATCAGACTTACTGGTCTTTCCTTTTCTATGCTCCGTAATCCTAGTTGTAGCAGAAAAGGTTAAAGAAACATGGACGTCATAAAGTCAGACACACAATGAGGATGCAGTAGAAAACCTAATTTTCACACTTTTGCAGAAATAAGAATAACAGTTTGAGGGGAGAAAGTATGATGTGAAGTTAACAGAATCCACAAACGTAAAACCGTCATCACCAAAGCAGAAAGATAAGTGAGATTTATTAGTAACGGTACTTACTTCAACTGCAGCTCTGGCTTCATCCCGTGTTTGCATCTATGTTCTGGCAATGAACACAAAGTAGAACAATTTTAGATGCACAATGTCTCATCTGCATATTTGAACATAACATTTTAGAGAACTTGTAAACTTTGGAACTTGTAACACAAAAAAACACTGTTTTATCGTAAGTAATCAACTGGGGAAGTTAATTAGAAATATTAATTGGTTAAAAATATTGGAATGGACACCTTATAGTGCCTCCTCTTATTGGGAGTCTACACAAGCATCTGCTCATGTATACACGTTGGAACACTGGGATGAACAACAGCCTGAAAGGTTTTACAGAAGTTGTTTGACATATTGCCCTGTGATAGACTGCTGACCTGTCCAGGGTGTCCCCTGCCTTCGCCCTAAGTCAGCTGGGATAGACTCCAGTGAGGATTAAGCGGTGTATAGATAATGGATGGATGTTTGACATATTGACATTTATTCTCGCCATAGTTAATGAAAACATCAATTCTATGTTGAGTCAAGTGTGAAGGTCAGCTCAGCTTAGCACAAAACAGCAGCGATCTTGGCTCTTTCCAAACATTAAAAAGTCTGTGAACCAGCACTGAGCGATGGGAAAAGAGTATTCAGATTCTTTCCTGAAGTAAAAGTACCAATACATCAGTGCAGAAATACTCGGTTTAAAGCAAAAGTCCTGCATGAAATTCCCACTTTAGTAAAAGTACACGAGTAGCAGCAAAATGGAGTGAAGATTTTAAAGTGAAAGTACTAGATTGGTCCCTCTGATTAATATTTTATTATATATCTCATTATTAGATCAATAACATCAGTGTGTCAGCAGCATGTTACTGCTGCAGCTGCTGCAGGTTTGAACTATTTTCTATCCAGTTTCATCTCCAGAGACATCTAATAAATCTGACTAATGGTTAAGTACAGTTCTGACATCTATTTACTCTAATCTTTTATGTTTAGTAAAATGTGGATCATTTCAACATTTATCGAGATGAGACCAGACTAGAGGAAGGAACCCCCCCGAAAAAAACACTATTTTCCGGAGCTGTTAATAAATCATAGACAACAGAAATGCAGCCCTGAATACACACCAGTCAGAAATCACCGGTTTAATCTTTAACTATATGTTTTATTTTAAGACTTGTTATTTCATCTACTGCACAAAATCTATATTTCATAAGTTACTGAAGCTGTCAAATAAATGTAGAAGTACAATTTGTCCTTCTGGAATGTAGTGAAGTTTAAGTATAAAGCAGCAAAAAACAGAAACGCTCATGCAAAGTAAAAGTACCTCAAAGTTGTACTTAAACACTTGAGTATATATCTGTTGGTACTTTTCAATTAAAGCCAAAGCATAAAAACATCAGCATTCATGAACCACATGCAGATTCCTATCAGACATTAAAACCAGAGTTGAATAAGACATTATGGGGTAAATATTAAGCTGTTACTAACTTGGGTTGACCAACATCTTTCCACCATCAACTATATATAGAAACATCGAACACGGTAATGATTGTCACCAGTGTTCTGTACAACCTGGTTTTGTGAGTCTGCACAGCGTTGTATATTTTATGGGTTCAACAATGCAGATTTGTGCTGCTGACCCACATTAGCGCAGCAGGGCGAAGGGATCAGAGGTTGTTATGTGTGACAAGGACTAGATGATCAGTGCTGCTTTGTGCTGCACAATGACAGCGACGCGTCTTGCACAACATCATGTGACTCCGTCGTTAACCTGCTGTAACCGTGTCGGCCTGCTCAGCCGTCCCTGCATGAACGACGTGACAAAGCACCGGGGAGACTTTTACACCAACAACTTAAATGTAGTAAACTATTAGACCAATAGCTTACTTTCTTGAGCCTCAAACTCTGCACTCAACTGGAAAACAAAAGAAGATGACATGTCATGCACACGAATGCCCCATACTAGTGTCAAAATCTTTGATTCTCGTGTGTAAGTTTCATAGGAGGCCTTCAAAATCACTAAGGAGGCGCCTCCATTAAATACAGGGAGAGAAATGTCACACAAACTCCGCAGGTTCACACAACAAGCAGCTGATGAGCTTATCTAAGCAGCTACAGCGCTTCATGTGAAGAAGCTGCTATGTATGTGCAACCTTGACCTGCAAGAAAATGAAACATCTTAAACCTGCAGGAGCAGCAGGGATCAGTAACATATTACCACGGGGCAGTGACAGAAACAGATGTGGTGGTTGTATTCTCCTCCATACTTGGAAATTATGAAGGAAAATACAACAAGTTTGGTCGTTTCTGTGACATGAGATTTTCCCTGAAGTGAACGCTGGCAACTCTCATGACGTCATGACAATTCTTGTTATTCTAATCAGAACCAAGCGCATATAAACACATTCTTGTCAAGGTCTTGTAGTGCCTGTTGTTCGCTCTGAAAAAAGGCCTGCATTGTCCCACTGCAGCAGGCCTGGCCATGGCTGCAGAATTTGCAAAGTAATGTTGTGAGACTGAACTAAATTATTCACAGTCAACAAAAGGAGCATACATGGAAAGTGTAAAGTAATGTTTAAGTCTTTTATTGTCTAATAGACAACAAGTCCTGGTTGCCTTCAACATTTATAGGTTTGAAAAACAGTCACGAATTCACCGAAAAGAAAAACATAAAAGGTAAGTACTAGATGGGCCTTGAGTCGTTTCTTTGTTGAAGTTTCGACATTATAAAAACAAGAGGTGTCTACGTTGGAGTGAACCATCCTTTTAATAATATATAAAGACTCTGCATTCAAAAGGTGCATTTCGGGGAGGGGTATAAAAATAAAAATACGATAAAACACTTACACTAAACAGACAAAAAGCTGTGATCTGAGAGAACAATGTACATTTCTATGACATTTTAAGGCATCGACATTCCCCCCCACAGTGTGAGAGACCCACACCATGACAGCAGCATCTTCACAAGACATACAGTCTTAAAAACATCCGCAGCGAGCTACATGTGGCCCCCCAAGACTGAACTTCAGTCTCCTATTGAAGCCTGGGTGTGTTTACTGCTGCAGAACATTCAATGTATCTGGAAACACGCAGATGCATCAACAAAGTGGCGAGTGTCTTTAACAAAAGTGTACCCACAGTATGTCCCTCTCAAACACGTTGATGTGAACACGGTTTTACATTCATCGGCAAATTTAAAATGGCGTTTGAGCTACAAATGGTCTTTTTAGAAGAGAAAGAAAACCCCCAAACATCTGGAATATTACAATTTTGCTGATTAAAAAAAATAGACTTTTAGAAACAGAGAAGCCAAACTAGAACCACAAAGGCTTATTTAGGCATAAGCTTTTAACTACATCCCAAGCTGACTGGCTATTAGTTGAACCGTATTGTACAAAAACACTGTAGAAAATATGACACCACTGGAGTGTCATTTACATTTGGGCAGAAGTGCGTTTACCCACAATCCCCTCCCTAGTTCAGCACTCCTCTACCACGGTACCAGCCGAGGAGGAGTACAGTTTTTTCTTGACAAGCCGGAAACCTGGACTCAGTTTAAGTACGTGCCTGAAAGCCGGGGCAAAGCAGGTTCCCATAAAGAAGAAGTCCCGCAGGCTGGGCCAGGCGGTGCCATCCTGCTTAAACACAAGAGTCACCTCAAATGTGGGCACCACGGTGGCGTCGTACACGATGCGCTCCAGCTGCTTGCAGCCCTTGTTGAGCTCCAGGTGGACGTAGAGGACGCAGCCACGCAGGCCGCAGGGCTCGCAGGACGCCAGCCGCAGGACCTCCCGAGCTATTCTCCGAGTCAGCTTCTCTGGGACCAGCACAGAGGAGCAGTGCAGCGTCGTCTTCTTGGCCCGTGACAGGCAGTTTTCGAACATCTTGGCCAGCTGTTGACAGGACCGGTCCTCTGTGACATCTGCGTTCCTCTGGGGCTCGGTCACGCAATGATCCCAGAAATCCAACTCTGGGAACACAATGAACATTTTAGGGACAAGACGCAGCTTTCTTCTGCAGGACAATGAAGGGACACTTCATGATGCAAGCATGCACAGATCAGCTGTTTTTAAACCGCAAGTGAATGAGGGAATGCTTCTGTTTTTGCACGGCTTTTCTCATGAGGGAAAAAAACAAGATCTGAGACTACTGAGCTGTACAAGCACAAGACATCAATCTCAATGCATGTATATTTTAGCTGCGGGCAGAAAAAGATGCTGTCAGATGTGCCATTGATCGCAGGCTGTTGTTGTGCAGACAGGCTGATGACAGAGGATGACTTCATCCTCCACAGACCTCCCTCTCCCCTCCACTGCTGCAGCCATGCACCACACAGGGATAAACAAGCACACAAGTGGAAGCATCCAGCAACTAGCAGGTTAGCCGCACACACAATAACAACAAAAAAACATGCAGAAAGCGCCAGTGAGCTCACCTTTCTCAATGCAGACGTGGTCATATCTTCTGTCAACCAGTTCGGAAATACACTCGTTGCTTTTGGTCTTCAGTGTGCTTGTGGCAACCATGGTGACAGTGTTGATCTCTTCAGGACTGGGCCGTTTGTTTTTTTCCTGTGCTTTTAGAAAAAAAGCTGCCTGGAAATAAAAGCAGAGGCGTCATGTAGCGGCTTGTTTTCAGCTCCAGAACACACAAGACACTCTGTGAGGAAGCTAGCTTAAGATGCTAACGCGTCAAACTTTCAAAATGTAGCCTTTAACAGAAAAACAAACAAAAAAAATGTTATTTCACGTCGTCTCTCTCTGTTTATTTCACCTAGCTAGCAAACAGTAGCCCGGAATATTAAAAAATACTCACCTTAAATATTATTTAGTGCAAAAATAGTTTAATTTAGACGGTTTCGTATAAATAAATCCACACGCCACTTTCTTTCTCCCACACTCACACACACAAACAGACACACAAACACACTGCAGCAGCAGAAAAGTTCTGAGCAGCTTTTATACCTTCCTCTGGGTCAGCTGACCAGAGGGTTTGACCAATCACAGCACGCCTTTCGACGTCGCTCCGCATCTCCTTTCTGATTGGCTGTGAAATAGCGTCTAAATTAAATAATTGACCAATGCTTAGGGGGGGCGATAGCTGTGTTGCTACGTGGACGAGGGAACATTTAGGCTGAGGTCTGGTTTTGTATTTGCATGAAAAAAAAAGGAATATATCGAAATTAATCCACCTGAGGCTGTTTTAATTTTCACAGAGGTTCATCCACCTGTTTGGCACAGTATGGGTCATTGAAGCTTCATTTTTATTTTTTTATGACCAAGCATTTTATTAGTTACCCATAACATTTTATTATAGACAGAGTTCTCGAGACATCTTTGAGCTTTACTCATAAAAGGAAATCGTCTCCAGCAAGCCATAGGCCAAGGTTTTATCAAGCATGACCTTAAACATGAGTCTTATGCACCAATATGTGCCTTTTATTTCTCAACTTATGATGAAAATGTCTTTATTTATGTGAAAGAAAACAAAAAAATGAAGGTGCAAGGCTTTAACATAACACCTTTTCAAAACAGTCAAGTCATTTTGCCACTTTTTCTCAATAGTTTGTGCAACATCAGTTTCAGTGTCATTTAATTTTTCACATGCACTATTTTATTATCATGTGCGCTATCACTTATTACCTCATTATCATTGCCAGCATTACTTTTTATTTTTCTATTCTAGTCTTATTTTAGCTTTCATTTCAGTAATTTATCATACTTATAGCTTTTCTACTAGGCACTGAATTTATTCTCGCGTTATGTCATTTTATTTTTCCTGAGCAATATCTGACGCTTTCCTTTGGCATCAATAAACTCTTGCCTTATCTTATCTTTCTTTCTTTTTATTGGAGGGACAAATGCACAGCAATGGGGACGAATGTCTCACTGAAATCAATGTCTGTGCCAACAAAGGACTGGTTGAAAGAAGAATCCACATTTTGAAAGGTGCTAGCAGCATTTTGGAAGTATGAGCCAGAAGCATGACAATATGTTGTGTTGATTTTAAAAGCATTATTTTGGAATTCTCACCCACCAAATTAAAAGGCTTTCGGGGATCTGTAGCAAAATGAGCACAGTTTGTAGGGGGCACCAAACACTGCACATGATTACAAACACCCCATCCCCACTGTGGAGCATGGTGGTGGCAGCATCATGAGGGGGGGATGCTTCTCAGCAGCAGGCCCTAGAAGGCTTGTAAAGGTAGAGGGTAAAATGAATGCAACAAAATATAGGGAAATCCTGGAGGACAACCCGATAAGGTCTGTTGCAGAACTGCGACTTGGATTTGTGTGTCAGCTCGACTCGAAGCATAGAGCCGAAGCTACACAAAAATAAATGTGAATGCATGTCTGGGAAAGACGCTACTGTCACAGTGTGGGTTTCTCACACTGTAATGTTGATGCCCTAAATGTCATATAAATGTACTTTTTGCATGTTTGTTTATGTTTAGTTTAAGTGGATTGCATTTTTAGTGGTATACCCCTCCCCTCTATGCTTTTTTTTCAATGCAGAGTCTTTATTATTAGTGGTTGCCATATGAAAAACAGTCCAAACCAGAGTGAAAGATGTGAATCTGAGTGGCTTTCACGTCCCACAGGCCTATAATTATGTGCATAATATGTAAATATTTTCCCATATGTATGTCTAAACCAAATCACAACATGCATTTGTGGCATGTGAGGAAGGAGGAAAGCCCCCTGCTTGGTTTTACGCAGGCCGAGCGTCTCATCTTACTGTGTTTGTATGTGCATGTGTGTGTGTACATTTGGCAGGTAAAACACCGAGCGCAGTTGTTCAGCTCATCAGCAGTTTATCTCTCATCGCGCACCGACTTAACAGAAAGTTTTCTTCCAGTAATCGGATCCGGCCCTCTTACCCCCAGCAGCTCTGCTGGCTAAAGGGTAATGGAATCCAGTGGGCGAGAGAGACGGAGTCACATGGGGAGAACCAGATATGCCTCCGAAAGAAGTCACATTCTTCAGCTAGTGTTGCGGCCTTTGTGGATGCAGACGTACACTGTGTGAGCTGTTGTCTTCGATTTATGTGAAAATTCAAACAGCAATTTGAATATGTCAAAAAACATACAATCAAGCAGTTTGTTGCAATGCGTTGGCGGTGTTTAAAATATATTGCCTTGTGAAATAAATAATGTTAATTTTACACAGACCCTACAGTGTGCTTTGGATTGTTTTTGTAGGAGACTTGAGCTTTAATTTTTGGCATTGGCACAATTTTGAGCTATGCAAAGAGTCCTCCAGAGTGGAATGAATACAGCACAACTGCAAGAAAATCTGTTTGTGATCACTAAAAAGACCCAGCAGCAAATCCACACCAATGCTTTTATTAGAATCAGAATCAGACATTTCTTATGTTACAGTTGCTCCCATTCAAGTAATTTAACCAATTGGAAAAAATATACGATAAATATGAGGAGGAAAAATATGTCCCAAAATTAGAAACATACGTAGAAAAGTATGAACATAAAATGTAAAAATGTGCATCATACTATGAAAATAAAAACCTAAGTACAGAGTTTAATACATAGTAATGAGGTTATGATGGGGTTATTACACAGAGAAGTAGTTCTGTTACGTAGTTATAAATAACAATACTGGCGATCAGTTGCGATGTGTGCACGCATGACAAAGAAAGACAAGTTCAGTTCAAAAATGCAGAGCGTCAGCAGTAGTTTAAACGAGGGTTTGACCTAAATTTATGTCGAAGAGGTCACTAGTTGCTGAAAAACCAGCAAGTCTGTCTACTGTCTAATAAAAACTTAACGAGAACACACAGACACGTGTTTAAAATAACCTCAAGTAAAATTAAAACACTACCAGACACTTTTATACAATATAAAACTTATTGACACTGAAATATTCAACATCTGCTGCCAAGAGGATTTTTTTTTTATTGTGTACGTCGTGTCTGAAACCTGTCCCTGCAGCGTTCAGCTCTTATCTCCAGATGCTGTCACAGTTTGCATCGATGTGGGTTAAGAGGTTGTATAGTAGCACACTTATTACTGCAGCGTCTACAGAAAAGAAGCATTAAATCGCATGTAAACCAGGACGTTCAAGGCGATGAAACTGTGACCGTCGTTAACGAGAGCAACGCTGCAGCAGACTCGTGAAATCAAGAATGAGGCAAGTTAAAATGATTTTATTTGCAGTGATGCAACCAAAGCAAAGAAAAATCACGTTCCTCAGTGATGAATGTGTAAAAAAAAAGTGAGTTAGAATCCAAAAAGACGGCTCTGAACTCATGAATGAGGTAACACTCTGCAGCTTTAAAGCTCAGGAGGACTAATGCGTTGTCACCTACAGTGTGTGTGTGAGATCAATCCATATCTTGTTGTCAGCGCCTCAGATGCTTCTCATGCCTCTGTGTCACGTTCTGCCTCTGCATCAGCTTTTAAATCTTGTTTTCATCTGTCTGTGCTGAGCTTTGGTGAATAAAAAAAGTCGGTGTTCCTCATATGATTCTGCTTTGTGCACCTGGCTCCTCCAACGTGGCCTCTGCTGCTGACCTTCACTCCCTGTCGGTCGACCAAAACCCGCTTGATAATTCTCTCCACCTCGTGTTTCCCCGAAAGAGGCAAAAGATAAAACGTGTCGTGTTTCAGGTTACAAATCCGCCGCGGTTCAGATGAACCTCCTGTTATGCCCTGTAGGGACACCTGTTCTGGCCGGCTGGCAGCGCTCGCCTTCCTCTGAAACGTGCTGCCTTTTTGCACCCTCCATGAAACTGAATAAGAAGAGCCTTTTCGCTGACGCTGCAGGAGGGAGCTGGCTGCATGTGTAGGAGTCGAACTGAGACATATCTGAGCTTAGCAAACAGCTGACATGCTCAGAGAGATCCCTCGAGTGGAAAAATGTAACAGCAATCCAAATGTCTTCCTGATAATATCAATGTATTCGGATTAATTCTGCTCCTCTGAAAACTCTTCAGTCGAACACAGAAGCTCTTCAGTTGTTTCTGTGAAGAGTCTTAACTGTGACATTTACTGTCACCTTTCTGACAGTATTCACATAATATTCAGATTTATGAGATAACAAAAAAAATCCCCAGGTGGAACGTTTTTGGCCTGAGAAAGTTCTACTGATGTTTCAGTTCTCTTTTAGTTCCCAGAATGTTCTTCTCGAAGGCAGAATAACTAAAGATGTTCCAAAAATGTTTGCTGCTAACGCTGTTAGACCACTACGCTCTGAAAATGTTTGTTGTCGTGTACCACTGTGGAACATTGTGGGAACGTTTCACAGATTGTGTTTCCCTCAACAACATCTCCAAAACGTTCTCAGAACATCACAGTCAGAATGTTCCACCTTTGTTAATACATCGCAGTGAAGGAACGTCTGAAAAAGAAAAGTTCTGTCATCTGAGGCCTCGATAACACCGGGAAGCCATTTTTGGAGAACGTTCTCTCTCAGTTATTATGAACGTTCTATAATGTGTTCCTCAACAACATCCCTAAAACGTTCTCAGAACATCACAGTCACAATGTTCCACCTTTGCTAATATATCACAGAACAGGAACGTCTCATTAAAAATGTTCTATCACCTGAGTTGTTTTTTTTTTTTAATGTATTGAGAACATCCTTTTTCTATTATCAGTGTGGAAATGTTTTACAGAAGAACGTTCTAGACTGTGTTCCTCAACAACAGGGTTCCACCTTAAATATATCACATCACACTAACCTTAAAAAACGTTCTATAGAAAATACTTTCTGCATCTGAGGCCTCGACGACATCTGGAAAACATTCTTTCAAGAAAAGTCTTCCTTTGTGATCATGCAACATTGTGAGAATGTTTTATATAGAACGTTCTATAATGTGTTCCTCAACATCCGTATAACATCCTGAGAACGCTGCAGGCAGAATGTTCCACCTTCGCCCTATAAAGAACATTCTGTCATCTGAGGGCTCCTGGAAACGTTTTATTTACTTATTGAGGACATCCTTCGTTTATTGTTGTGGAAATGTTTTACAGAAAAACGTTCTCTAACGTGTTCCTCAACAGCATCCGCAAAACATCCTTGGAACGTTGCAGAAAGAATGTCCCGCCTTTGTTAACACATCACATTACAGGAACGTTGTATATAAATCATCTGAGGCCGCGATAACGTCTGGAAAGGTTTTGTTGAATGCTGTTTGGAGAACGTTCCTCCTTTGTCATCGTGGAACATCCTCTCAATGTTAACAATAAAACATTATATTAACTTTATAGAATTCATAAATTAATTTCTCTAGAAATGTTTTGAACATTTGATTCAATTTTTTTGAATAACATGATTAGAACTTGTAGGTAATGTTCGCCAACGTTGTAGCAACATTCCCTGCTAGCTGAGTTTGTCGCATTTTTACAATGCAAACCTGCAGGAGGCCTTTTTGTATGAACATCTGCTTTTATTGCAGCCTTGAGTTAATCTTCTTCAATAGTTGGAATAATTTCACATTTTTATTTCCCAGCTGAGAAGGTTTTGGCTCCATTAGCAGCATGAAGCAATAAAAACGGACCAAAGGCCAAATGAAAGCAAACAGACAAACATGAGAGCTCCAATGAGAGATAAATCTAAACTGCATGTAGTCAAATACAACAAAAAAACTTTTCTGAACAAACTGTGGGTCACACATGCTTTAACCATCAAGTGACCGACTGCTGTATATTTATATGCATCACTGTGACATTTTGAATTGGAAAAAAATGTTTCCTACCGTGACTTTTTAGTGTACTTTTCATAGTTTTTAATTTATTTTTTCATTTTTTAACAGAAGTTGGCATTAATTAATAAAGATCACATGTCTGTTTCTCTTTCTGTACATCTGCCAGCAAGATGTTTGCTTAGATTTTGTTTTAAACTGAAGCATGGAAGTGACAAAGAATAATAATAATCATAATTTTAAAAAACAATTAAAAGGATTTCATTGTAATTTGTTGTTGATCAAAGTATTAGAGTCACTAGTTCATCATGTCGAATGCATAATCTAACACTTAATCTGCCTAAAACCTACATAAAATTTTAAATTTTGCAGTTTTGTTAAAGAAAATGTAAAGAAAATTAGTTTTGTAAGAAATAACAGACGAGGATTGTCCAAAAACGTGTGATTTTGTTTGCAAAGTGTGTGTTTCTTAATCCTTTTTTTGCCTTAAAATGATTTAAAATCAGAATTAATTCATAATAGAACATATCTGAATATCTGTCATAGATAAAAGAAGCAGTATGTGTTTAATAAACACAAGTAGAGTTGTTAAAAAAAACATATTCCTGTATAAAAAAAATAATCATTTTGGTTGCTAAAATAGTTGGATTGCTTGTAGCACAAAGTAAGTATTTCATAAGCACTTCTATACGTGGTTCTAAATGGCAGTTTAAAAAAAAGCACATTTAATAACATTTTTACAGATTATCTCCACACGGCAGTTTTCAGTCAAGGCAGCGTCCTTCAGTAAAGCTAAACAACAGAAAAAGCCATTTTACTAACATGAGATTCAAGATAGCATTCAGTTAGAGCTCCAGATGCACGGGAACAAAAGTAAAAATGAAGCTGAGTGGATGTTCGGCCTAAAGAGGGAGACTGGACGCTGAAGAAAAGAGGCTGAATGCGAGTCGTCCTCGGCCACAGCTGGTAATGCGTTAAAGCAGCGTGTGATGGGCCTTCAGCCAGGCCGCCCTCATGGAGATGTGCCCACAGTCTCAGCTTACAAAGAGAGAGCCAGAGTGTGTGAATTGATTCATAATGTAGGTCATGAGTCCGCAATGACAGGGAAAAAAATAAAAAAAATCAACTATCAAGGACGTTTTATCCCATAAGAACGTCACTGTTGGGAGATGTGGGGACGTGTTTTGGTTCTGAAGGTCACGCAGGGGCAGATTTTCACACGAGTTGCTGCTAATGTCTCACTCCTCCGTCAACAACCTCATGAAAACCTTCCTGCAATAAACACCAGCTCATCAAGTCAAGGTTTTGTTGTGTTGACCGCCTGCTCCCTCTAGTGGTCACTCACTGCTAGTGCTGATGGCATTCATGCATTATATTAGAACTGTGGAGTCGTGACAGTGCCAAATTACAAAAAGAATAAATCAATAAAAGAATTTTAAAAAATAAAATAAAGTGGAAATAAAAAAAAGAATAAATAAAATAAAAAACAATGTGGCAATATAAAGCAATATTAATCGAAAATGAATCCATAAAAGAAAAGACTAATAAAAGAAGTATAAAGTCAAATAAATAAAAATAATAACAAAAATAAATAAATAAATTTAAAATATACAAAATTGATGAATAATACATTTTTTAAAATTATTTCATTTATTTGACTTTATATTTCTACTTTTATTAGCCTTCTTTTATGGATTCATTTTTGATTAATATTGCTTTATATTGCCACATTATTTATTTTTTATTTTATTTATTCTTCTTTTATTCCCACTTTTATTTAAAATTCTTTTATTGATTTATTTTTGTAATTTGGCACTCTCACTACTCCATACACAACTAGCTTACATGCAACAAAAAAGGGGAAAAAACAAACAAATAAGGTAGATGATTATTCGTGGAAGATATTAAAATAATTTGATGAGAACAGTTACTAATAATAAATATCTCGACTAAACATTGCTCGTAGCGTTCAGTTTGTTTGATATCAACTCTCACTATCTTATCAGGTTTTTATATTTTATCACAAAAAAGTGCAAATATCATATCGTGCAAAGCTGTCAAAACTCCACCAGATGTCATATCAAAAGCAAAAATATCAAAACTAACGAACCAAATCTCCATGTTTTAGTGATTTATTGAGGAAATTGAGGTTGACAGTAACAAACTCCAGCCATAAAGCACAAAGCGCTCCTTTAAATACAGTCCTCTGCATTCGCTTTACCTCTTACTTGTGCCTGAATGTTATATTTATTGAAAAAAATATTTAAAATTAACATTTACAGCACATTCTATTGACATCGCTGGTGAACGGGGAGGATTATTTGTGCGAGGCAAGATCGTAAAGAGAAACTTGGCGGAAAATATCCTCTAAAGGTTTTTTTTTTTGTGAAACTGAATAAAAAACTGAAAAACGGTGACAATTTACAGCAACAACACAACACGATTATAGAGCTGTGAACAGTGATTGATGTGATGGATCTGAGGTCAGTGCACGATACAGAACACAGGCTTATGGCCCAACATGGAAACAGACTGAACAGATGATAAACCCTCATCAGGCCGAACTCAGAGCTCTGCAGTCCTCTGAGTCCAAGATTTATGATCACAGTCAGACACCCTACTTAATGAAACTGCTTTCAGTAGCGAGAAAGCCCTCTTCTGCTTCAAAAATAATTCACTAGACCAAAAATATTAATAAAAAAAACACCTAGCGTTCTTCATCAACTCGCCGATCTTCATGCTCTTCGTTTTTATCTCGCAGCAGCTGAAACAGACACGACAGAAACAATGAGGAAGGCTCGGATGACAGATCCACATCAGTGTGATAAAAAAGGACTTTTATCATTTTGTAATTATAAAATACTGTAAATCATTTTATCTGCTACAAGTGAAAGTCCTAAACTGAAAATATGACTCAAGTCAAAGTAGGAAAGTCGTGAAAATGTACTAAAAAAGTAACTCAAGCAAAAATGCAGAAAGAAAAGTTCCATGTGACTGTTATATGAATTATAACATCATCATTAGACTATTAGTAGTATTCATGCATTAATATATAAGCAGGCTTTTATTGTTGTAAAATGAAGCAATATGGATTAATTTGCAGGTTGTTTTCTCTATTGATTGGTAAATGATTTGCTTTATAAAAATTCAGAAAAAAATGAACAAAAAAATATCTCAAGTACTCTAAATAATAGTTAAAATGACACGACTTTGTACTTTATTAGTTGGTTTTCATATGTTTTTTTGTGCAGAAATCCTAATTTGTAAAGTAACTAAAGCTGTCAGATTAATGTGACGACGCAAAAAGTCCAATAATTCCCTTTGAAGTGTAGTAGAGTCAGTAGAAAGTGTATAAATACCTCACATTTGTAGTTATGAGTAAATGTAATTTGCGTTAACTTCACCTCAGATCATTAATTAGTTCAAAATCATCCTATGAGTGGTGAAAGTGTGAAACTATCTGAGCTGAATTAACTGAACTTGAGAAAACAAGTTCAGTCAACTAAAGATACTGAGTTGAATCAACTACCTGCACAGACACAGACGGACTCGTTTTCCTTTTATGTTTTCTATTTTTTAAAAGAGTTTCTTTGCAGCTGTTGAAGCCATTTTCAACCAGACAAACAAAGAATTATCAAAAGAAACAACAATAACTTCATTTAACATCAAGTTTCCACCACGTCTGTTTTCGCAAACTACAAAAAAATAAAGTTTCTGAGCGGTTTTAAGTCTCTAACAATGCAATCTGCTTATAAGCCTGTTTTATTTCATATGAACTGAATTTAATAAGTTCAGGGAACTCTGTGTATTTGTCATTTAAGGTCACTTTAGGCCTCAAGTTGCTTTTCGAACAATTCCAATCTACGCTGTATAATATTTAATGAATTTTATGGTTATTGTTAGTTATTTAAAACATTTTAATCCTGACTTTTACTCACAGTTCACCATCTTTATTACTTGTTTTCTGGTGTTTTTACTGTGATTCAGTTGCTGCGACATTACGTTCTGCTTTGCATCTTCTGATTACAGCTTAAAGGAGCCCTGAAGTTGTAAAAACTCATATATTTAAGTTGTGGAGTGTTTAAAAAAAAAAAAATTATTGACTTGTAATCAGCAAAACCAATATTTTTTACATGCAGAAAACTAGAAAACATGAGTTGAATTGACTAAATTCCTGCAAGCTACATTCCACCACTGCAACCCAATAAACATCTTTGTATTTTACATGTTTTCTGCTGCTGTGTGTAACATTTAGGACTCATAGCAGCAGTAATTTTTATTCTACATCATGACTGCAGCATTACAGGGTTTAATCTTCGTGCTGGGAGGTAACACAGGAGGAATAAGTTTTGCTGTTTTAAAGCCGCAATCCAAAGAAAACCAGAAGTCCGCGACAACATAAACACTTTTTTCCTCGGCAGAATTCCTAAAGCATGATTCCACTTCCCTGCGCAGCTCGCGGCCAACACATCCAGGCCTGATTGCGGGAGGGAAGGAAGGCAGGACGTTCAGTGCCCACATTTTTCAGGAGTGTGTGGACAAACTACGTAGGACACATGCGCAGACGTGGATGTGCGTTCGGCCCGCCAGCGCACACTCGCGCCTCCAAACGTCTGGGCCGCGCTGACATTTACCGAGCCGCACAATAGCTCCTGTCCAAAATAATCTGTGTTTATGTTAGGAAGTCCCTATCTTTCAGACCCTGCTGCTTGTTTGAGGGCGGCGGCGCGAAATCACAGGAAACACCTTCTGCTGCCCAGCAAAGCCCCAAAAGCCCGAACGGCACAATGAGATATTAAAAGCCAGTTACTTCCCTGGAATAATCGGGAGTTTGTGTCTGGAGAAACCACTTGACTGAGCGAGTGATGGGAGAAAACAGAAGCAGCCGTGGGAGGAGGAACTGTCAGCTCACCATTTTCCTCTCCGCCTGATGACCTCACTCCCAGGAGCATGACGCCATCTTTGGTGCTTTCTGGTCGGCTCTGGAAAGATGCGCTGTGGAGACGAAGGAGGCAATCAGATGCTTGTTCTCACTCCTAGAAAAGTATAATCCTTAAAGATTAAACTTACTTCTCGGTTCCAGTGTCGATGGTTTCTGTTGGATAGAAGACAAGGGTGAATAGTTACAGGTGAAATTGGTGTAAGCGTTCAAACATAAGACAGGAGACAATGAATGTGTGTGAGTGTCTCGTCTATCCCAGATGTTCATTCAGCAAAGCTTGTGGCCAGGAGATGTTGCTGGGTGTCAGGACAGTGAACGGCGACGGGATGTGGACGAACTACACCAACACAAAGTCCAATCAGAGACTATGCCCGCAGTTACCCGAGAGAGAAGGAAGCGGTATGAACATAAACAAAAGAGGAGGAAGAGAGCCGGATCCATGCTAGACTAAAGGCTAACCCCTCCAGACCAGCAGGACCGTCCTCCTGCTCTCCAGTGTCCACTCCCTCCACAACAAGCTGGACGTTTGCTGAGAGAAACCCTCAGAGAGTGGAGGGACTGCTGTGTGTCTGCTTTAACAGAAACATGGCTCCATGACAGCATCCCAGACGGACATACAGCTGGAGGGGATGCAGACAGACAGACAGACAGCTCTGGGCAGCATCTACAGCTTCACCATCGTCACACCATCGTTTTTGTGTCCCTGAAGACCAACCAGGACCTGAAGAGGTTCGCCATGTTCAACGAATGGCGGCGTGCATGGACGCAGCGCCCTCTTCAGGAGACAGCCGGAGTACGTTTAGTGTTTCCTAATTAAATGATCCTGAAGAAACGCTCTCTCATCTTGTCTCTATGACTGTGTATATACAGCAAAACTTGATTTGATTGATTTGATTTGATAAAAACCAAATAAAAAAGCAGATCCTGTGCGGGTACCTGTGTGATCGTGGACTTTCTTGCATTTGAATTTGAGGAAGATGATGGCAGCGGCTGCAACCAGGAGGACGGGCAACACAATCAGCCACAGCCTTTTGTCTGAGGGGGAAATCAGAGGACACAGTCAGCAACATCCAGCGAATCTGTGGCAGATTAAACCAAAATAGCAGAGCAGTGATGCGGCAGCTGCAGCAGCTCACATCCCAACTGAGAAATCGTCCCTCTTTAGCTCGACATCAACTGTAAATTCATGGCAGAGTTTAAAATGTTCAGCTCACAGCGTCTAATTGGTGTTTGTCAGATTGGTTTACAGATGTCAGATCTGACTGAAACTTGAGGGATGAAAGGTTTTCTTGCTGCATTGTGGAAGTTCAAGCTGAAGCATTTCAACAACTGGATGGATTTTTGTTCATTTGTGGTCCCCACACGACAAATCTTCATGACATTTTGTTGTCATTGTTGATTTTTCCTTATATATCGTGATATGTAAGGTGGAGACTTGTGGTTGAGACATCTGATTGCAGACAGTTCTGTCCATTTTTAGATAAATCAGTGAAGCTTTGGGGACATAAATTCCTCTCAAACACGGCTGTTAGCAAATGTTAGCTCGTTGAAATAAAAATGGCGGACGTAGCTAACATTATTCGCTGTCATCAAGAGTTAGCATGCTATAGCTGCTAAAAAAGTTTTCATTTGACTCAAAGCACCACCTGCACAGAGGCCTGAATATGGCCTAGATGCAGGTCTAGTCTTGTTAACTTGTCTTGTTCTTTATTGTTTCTCTTATTTGTTCTCCCTCCTCTCACCCAAACCAGTCGAGGCAGACGGCTGCCCATCCTGAACCTGGTTCTGCCGAAAGTTTAGAAGTTTTTTTTCCCTTTGCTGTCACCAGATGCTTACTGCAAAGGAATCACTGGGTTTCTTTTTATAAAAACAAAAGGCCTTGATGTTACTACATGGGCGTCCTAACATGACTCAGCTCCAATGAACTTTCTCCTTATTGTCACCAAGTGATCGCTCAAAGGGAATCATTGGTTTTTGTCTTAATAATACCCTCAGGTCTTGACCTTACTACGTGTAGATGCCCTGAGATGACTTATGCTGTGAGTCGGTGCCATATAAACATAAAAACTTGGACTGGAATGAGAATCTGCAATTGCTGCATCACTGTTTGGGTTCTAATGGAACCAGTTGACTGGATCACCTGCTTTGGCTGATGTTTTCTCACCGCTGCTCATCGTGGTACCTTTCAACACAACGTGGTTTGATTAGTTTGTCAATGAACACTTTGATTAAATTATGATATCATTCAGCCTCCATGGGCGGCATACAGTGATCAAGCAGGACTTACCAGCACCGCCTTTCTGGGTTTTTTGTGTCGCTGCTGGAGGTGTAACGGTGAGACGTCGTCCTGTCGTATTAAAATGAATGAATCAGTTAATGCCAACACAGACGGACGTTTTTGTAATTTTGCTGATAAATATCGATGCATGAATATGAAGAATAAAAGCAGGAGTTTGCTCACCTGTACCTGTACCTGAGGCACCAGTGGGTGCATCTGCGGATAATAAAATATAGCATCTTCAGTGAAAATTAGTTTTCACACAGAAAAGCAAGATGTAGACTTTGCTTTGGTTACGTACCTGGTTTGGGTTTTAGAGTGCTGTCGTCAGTTCCTAACAACATAGAAAGCAGTTTAGATTAAATACACTTTGCTGTTAATAAAGTTTAAAGCACAAAAACCTGTGAATTACTGCGTGTTGTTTTACCTCGAGTCCCATTGGACTCGTTCACCGTCTCAGAGCTGTTGCTCAAAGGCCGAGAACCTCGTGGGTCCAAAGAGACACTGTCTGGAACTAATGAAACTGAAAAGTCATGAAGTAAACATACTTTATTTTCATTTTTTGGGGGTAATCCTGGTTAATAACTCCTTTACTAACTTCAAAACAGGGGATAAGACAAAATTTATAATTTTTTTTTGCAATGGATGAACTTATTTCACAAAATGGGACCTAATTGTGCAACAAAACTTCATTTACATCATTTTTGTACCACATAAAGAGCATAAATCCAGTTAAAATCAGGACATTCAGCTACATACCACCAACAAACCAAATATGTACATCAAACCCATAGAGAGACTGACCGCTGATGGCCGACTGGGTGACAGCTGAGGGTACGGTGGTGAAGCGCTGCTGGTCTGCAGGTCCCGCTGTACCTGTACCTGGCTTCTCCGTCAGGCTTGGAAGTGGAGATGTTTCTAGAAAAAATGGAAGGAAATTAAAGTTCTGTACAAAATAGGTCTATTGCAGCTTGACAGAGGGGCACTGAAATCAAACATTCTGCTTTAATTCATACATTTTGTCTCAAATTCTCAGTCGATTCTCAAGCAAGACGCTATAAACATGCATCAGACTTCTTTAAATTGCTCACAGGACTATGGGATGGGCTTCAAAAACATTCACATTGCCACGAACAATGCTTGTGCACGCAGTCAAATTCTGCACATGCATCGCACTGAATGAAGTGAAATATGAGAAGAAGCGGGATTTCAACATGAATACGCGCTCACTGTTGTCAGGGGTTGGGGTGTCAGGATTCGGAGAAGCAACTGTATCATTTTTGACTGTTGCTGTTGCTGGTGAAGGTACGTTCTGGGTAGCTGTCGGGGCTGCTGTTTGTGCTGCTGATATAAAGAAAAGAGAGTAAGTGACATGTAAATACTTTGATTACACGTGTAGAGTCAGAACTCAGCTTGATGCATTTTCCTTTGAAGAATCAAACTGATCTCTACAATCGTTACAGTGAAGGAAACAGGAACATATTTCATTATGCTGCTGAAAGATTCTTTAAAGGAATAGCTAGGGGGAAATTGGCTTATCTAACTTTCTAGGGGTTTGATTAGAGAGTATCGTAGCTCAGCTCAAACTCAAACACTGGAAACAGGGGAATGGCTGGTCTGAAGATTACAAAATCTGCCACCATCTTCTCTAAACTTCACAGTTGAATTCATCATATTCTGGGCTGCATATAAAGATGAACAAACCCTCCATGATGTCAACTTTTGGTTCCTAACTCCCAAATAACCAAAAAATAGGCAAAGAAAGTGGCATCAAAGCGACCACGCCCTTGGTTATCCACAACTTTAAGCCTTAATATCATTTAAATATGTGAGTTTGAGGAGGTACAGTCGTCATCAGCAGAGAAATTAGCTGTAGAGACCATAATTGTTGTTTGTTTCTGGCTGTAAACATGTTTATTTCTGCTGTAAAGTTGGACATTTTAACTCCAGGGTCTATGGGCGTTGACTCGCTTTTGAATCAGCCTCTAGTGGCCATTTGAAGAACTGCAGTTTCTGAGGTTGCCCCTTGTTAATATCTGAGCTTTTTAATCTGAAATCATGGTAACAACAGCCATTTGATGTTTCATTTTCAGGCATAAATAACAGCTGAGAAATAATCCTGCACACAACCTCCACACCCAAGAAACGCTGGACATTCTGTTGTGCTGTGTTGTTGCTGCACAAATAAACCAGCCGGCCAGCATTAAAGATGCAGATTTTGTTTTCTTTGGACTCTGCTAAACAAGCCGTTCCCATGTGTTTCCAGTTTTTGTGCCGAGAGGGGTCTCATTATACTCAACGCATAAAGTAAATAAGTGTGTATTTCTAATTTTTGTTCAGCCACTTTAATGTTTTGTTCCTTTACTTACCAATTGGAGTTGATGGTTGTCTTGTTGGTTGTTTACTTGGGAGAACTGATTCATCTGGTGAATCTGTAAAGCAGAAACAATTGGCGACTTTACAACATGTTTCCTCCCAGAAGTAAAGCTTGCAGCTGCTTGTATCGTCAGCGACACCGACCGTAATCGATCACCACCACCGGGCCCTACATCCTGCTCGCCTCAGGTCACGGCGCAATATATAAAACTAACGAGTCATCTAGGAAGTCTAAACGCTACCGACACAAGAACACGAGCACCAGTTTGTCTATGTAAAACATTTCCTCAGACAGATCCTCTATTTTAGGTTTGCGTATTCACATCATTCCTGTTTGGCACGGCTTTAAAGGCCAGCGTCCGAGACAAAGAACCTGCTCCGAGTGTCAGACTGGGGCTGAAAAGTCAAGACAGGAGTGGAGGTTGTGGCGCGTTGGGGTGGATTTCCTCTGCTCGGAGCTCCGCGGCCGTGTGAAGCTGCATCCTGTCCCAGACATACAATTGTTGTCCCCTGACCCGCGACAGGCTTCCTGTCTTCACTGCTGTCAGCCGCGAGTCCATTCAACATATTTCACAGCGGAGCGGTCGCCCAAGGGCCGACAAACGCTGGTTTCAGCTCCGACCGCATGCAGCTCCGTCTGGAGTCTTATCGGGGAAGACAAAGCAGCTCTTCTTGCCAAAGTGGTTTTTATTAGCTTTGTGGCGAATCCAAGTCAAACATTTTATAGCACGCTTTAGCTCCTTTTAGAGAAGATAAAGTCAAGTGTGCAGTGTTTTGAGGGAAATCCCGACAGAAGTCTTCTTTTAAACACGTCAAGCTGCAAGTGAATGGAGCAAATCTCAAGCTAAGCGTCTAAGTCGTGTCTTAAAGGCCTGATCTGGTGGAAATCCAGATCTTGTTGAAATGTCCTTATAGTGTTCTTTATATGCTGGAAGACATACCATGAAGGAAATCAGCAGTCGTATGTCATGGCTGAGCATTTCATGATTAAAACTGCAGTCCATCGATGACCAAAACACAGATCCAGACGTCCAGTGGTTCATGTGTCACAAACCCGATGAACCAATCCCGTCAGCTTGCAGCAGGGTGGGGCTTTCGATTCCGAATTTGGGATTCTGCTCGAATGACTGAACCAGTTTTACAACTTGTCATTTTGAAGTAGTTTTAAAGTGCTCGAGCAAAGTCAGGGGTGAGCTGGAGTGCTTGAGCTGCAGCGAAGGGGGCATTTAGAGCTAAATCTCAAAAGTTTTAAGGCTTGTAGGGATTATTTTTGAGAAATAAAATGTCTAAATGTGTAACTCTGATGCACAGAGGTGAGTTTTTAGGGCTTTAATCGGAAACTGGAGCACAATTTGAAGTTTTAAGACAAGTTTGGAGTCCAGGTCAAAGCTTCAGCAGCAAGTCGAAAGTTAAAGCTCAAGTCCTGCAAGGGAAGCATCAGAGTGTTCTGGATCTGACCAGTTCTAAGCTTGTCTTTACGTGCCGAGGAAACAGAACCTCGCACAGTTTAACGAGTTAGTCCGGGCGAGGGTGTTTCCTCCAGATGTTTACCGCTAAACCCTGGAAGCAGATTTCGCCGCCAGCTGGGACGTCTCGGTCTCTGGACAATAAAGCGTGGTCTCTGTGAGAGAGGGGGCAGCTCGGTTCCCACTGCCTATCAGCCGCTGGATCACCTATCTGCCCCGAGCACCACAATCAGAAGCTCTTCTGGCTCCGCAGCAAAGGAAAAACAAACAAATCAAGAGCCGGGGCGACTTTCCTTCAACCCACAGAATCTCATTTGTCACTCTGGCACTTCAGATTCATCATCCTGGAGGTGATTTGAGTTTGAAATCTGATCTTCAAGAGAAAAAACAACCCACTGTGGGTGAACGCGGTGGAGTATAACCCTCATGTTCACATGCACACACAGCTTATCTCTGGCTGGATGAACGGAAATAGTGCTCTGAGTGGACGTCTCCGAGGTAACGTTCAAAGTGTGAGCGTCTTTTGAGCAACACTGTGATCTTTATCTGTGCACATACCAAAACAAAGCTAAATTACACAGCGGGAAAAACATGCAGCACAATCAATCAAACTGAAGCAGACGTTTTCTAACAGCAATCAACCTGATATTGTCACTCTGTAACATGTTAAAGTCAGTTTTCTTTTTTTGGAGGCCATTTTTATAAATCCTCCCTGCACAGAAACAAAGTGGATCCTAACTTTGTTTCTGTAAAACGAGCTGAAGAATAGTGTGAATTATGATCCTACCTTGGGCGAAGACGTGGACGGATGCTAGCAGGAGCAGCACAGGAACCCTGATGGACTTCATGGTGACTCGAACGCCTCGAACGTCTCCCACAGACTGGAGCTGAGTGGCCGGTGTGGAAGGTGTCCGAGCCTGGGCGCTGGGCTGCCGATGCTTATTTTGGCACTTCCTTTAGATAAAGAAGGGGAGGAAATACACTGGCTTCCCTTCCTGACGTAAAAGAGGGGTGGACGTGGAGACCAACACAAGGCAGCCAGTCGGTGCAAACCTGCGTCCATTTAATTTTGTGTTTAAATGCGAAAGGCAACTCCCTTCGCTTATTTTTTCCTGCCCTGACACCACTTGACCGGTTTGGGAGGAGACTGAGGAGGAGATGGGTGCAGGAGCGAGTTCACTTTGAGATCACAGAATTAGATAGATAATGGTTTTCTAGAAAATGAAACCGAGTGTAGGGAATTATAGAAGATAAACGAAATTCAAAGTACTGTGGAAGAAGCTAGAGTTAAAAAAAAAAAAAAAAAGTATTTGGATCCTATATTTTTCAAAAAGCACCAATAAAGGAGCGTAAAAATACTTCAATATCAGTAAAGTCCTGCATAAAAGTATTAGTTTGGCCCCTCAGACTGATATATTGCTATGTGATATTATTTGATTATTAATGAGGGCTGCAAGGTGGATCAGTGGTTAGCACTGTTGCCTCGCACCAAGAAGGTCGCCGGTTCGCGTCCCGGTGAGGACACCTAGGATCTTTCAGCGTGGAGTCTCCATGTTCTCCCCGTGCAGCGTGGGTTCTCTCCGGGTTCTCCAGCTTCCTCCCACAAACATGCTGAGGTTAATTGGTGATTCTAAATTGTCCGTAGGTGTGAATGTGAGTGTGCTTGGTTGTCTGTCTCTAAGTGTAGCCCTGTGATAGACTGGTGACCTGTCCAGGGTGTCCCCTGCCTTCACCCTGAGTCAGCTGGGATAGACTCCAGCTCCCCATGACCCTAGTGAGGATTAAGTGGTGTATAGATGATGGATGGATGGATGATCATCAACAGTGAAGCATCAGCGTGTCAGCAGCAGGTTACTGATGTTGCTGCTGCAGGTGGAGCAGGTTTCAAGTACTTTCGATACAGTTTTATATACGGGGACGGATGATAAATCTAAACTCTCATGAGATGATTAATGAGAGAAAAAGAAGAAAACAACTGAATTCTGATCCAGAAATCTGTTTTAAGTTTAGGAACTTTAATTTGTGATGAGAAATTGGATCATTTTATTAAACCAAAAAGGGAAAAATCTCTATTTTAAGCCTTTAACACGTCATAGATGTCTGCATTGTGACTCTATAACAAACTGAATAGTGAAATTACAAACCAAACTGTAACTTTACAGATAAACTTCTACCAAAACGTACACTGCCAGCTGTGGTCGCCAGTATTTGCTGTATTTTTTCAAAGTTATAAAATACAGTTTTATATACAGGGATGGATGATAAACCTGAACTGTTGTGAGATGATTAATGGGAGAAAGAAGAAGAAAACAACTAAATTCTGATCCAGACTTTTTTTTCTTGGTGAGAAATTGGATCATTTTATTGAAAATAAAAGGAGAAAATCAGTATTTGAGGCTGTCAGTAACCCTGACTGAACACTACACCAAACTGAACTGTAATTTGACAGATGAATTTCTACCAAAACATATACTGACAGCTGCGGTCGCCGGTATTTTACTGTATTTGTTCAATGTTATAATTGTAATTTACGCAAAGAGTTAATTACTGTACAACTGATTATAGTCGTCTACAGTAAAATATGAGGTTTAATGTTTTATACTGGAAGTAACTTTCCAATAATATACTGTATTTATATAGCGTTGCCACTGTAGTAAACATTAACCGTAGTTACCTGTAAATTACAACATTTTCTTCCTTGAAAATGTCTAAACACTATTTTGAATTGCAGACATATGTCATAAATAGAAATGTGTCTGAACATTCACTCAAAAGTGAGATTTAGAAACTTGATTTATCATTTAAAAATTAATATACCACTAAAATATTCTTGTTTTAGGCTCTGATGTTGTATTTTGGAGAAAAAAAATTGTATTTTTACAGTAATTTGTTCAAATATTGGGCAGAGTGTCGCATTTTAAGAGCTTGTTTTATTATCTACTGTGTCAAGGAACTAAAGCTGTCAGATAACTGTAGAGGAGTGTAAAGGAGAATATTTTAAAGCAGCACAACATGGAAACGCTCAAGTAAAATAGCTCAGAACTGCACTCGAGTAAATGTACTTATTCCAGATGTGCAGATGTGCGGCGCAGACTCAGAAAGATACGATCACAAAATGGCGGTTTGTTTTTGCTAAATAATGACTGGAAGAGATGACAAAGACTTGTCAGCCCTGGGGAGCTGCTCAAATACCAGCCATGACGTCTCACTATTCTTCACTGTTTACGTAACAATGAATTCACTAAACGTGGAGATAAACTCGCTGCTCACCAGAACGCTCAGTCCCATTTCTGTGCACTGATATGTTTGGAGGGATAAACAGGAGAGTTTCACGTGATACACTCGATTATTTGGACTTTTAAGGTGCGTCTCTGAGGCTGTAAACACGCCAACAAGAGGTTTATCACTCCTGAACATGCAGCGTTGGGCAGCGTGTACTCGGCCTCCTTATTATCCCCCTGAAGCTATGAAACCTCGCTGCTGTTTTTTTGGCCCTCCCAAAAAAACAGGATGCCAGAGTTTACTTCCTTTCATTTGAGCATTGTGTTTGGTTTCAGTTGAGGAGACCAAAGAACTTTCAAGGGATAAGAAAATGTTGATTTCTTAGCAGTAAGATGTATTTATGCTAGATTATTTTATTTATGTTCACCTTGTATACGGAGAAATAAATCAAAATGAAATCGGTGAGTCACACGTCGTACTTGGTGAGAATTTCCTCAAGAGTTTGGTTGATTTTTAATTTTAAAAATCTAATACAAGAGCTTTAACGCATGGGATACGGAGGAATTCAGCAGATTTCCGGCGCTCCTGCACGCAGGTATGTTTGTGCGATCTTGGCTTTGCCCTCCAAGTCTAATCAGAGGAGTCGCACAGGTTGATGAAGAGGAAACACCTTTGAGGAGGAATTGCCAAGGAGTCATTTCCCATCGACACATTCGGCAGCCAAATTCTTCAGTTAGGAGGAAAAACACGGAGCGGAACAAAACACCGAGCACAAATGAAACTTGTACGAGTGTGAGGAGGCAAAGGGAGGAGACTCTTTGTGTCTCTAACTTCTGTTTTCACACACACAGGAGACGCAGGTCGATTTCAAGTTGAAATTCATGCACATTTTTATTGAACAGTTATATAAAATACTTTTCATAGTTGCAAGTGCATGCCTCATCTGCCAACAGTTTTGAAGTTAAATTACAAAAGCAAGGCTTCATGTCGTGTAGTGAATTACTTGGGCACTTAAGCAGTTCTTAAAAAAGATCTAAGTATTTTTTTTTTTTCCGTTTCATCTTAAAGTATTGAGCAGTATCAAACCTGTAACTGATATACAAAGCAGAGTTCCAAATAATAGTCATAATAATAATAATAATAATAATAATAATAATCAAATTACACTTTCTGTGGCACATTTACAAAACAAAACAAAACCGATTCACCTGTTATATGACACAAACAGCTAATCATGCATTTTTGAGTTCCACATGTAACCACACACCTCACAAGAATTGTCAAACATGCTTAATTGGACTGTGTGCACTTACAAGCGCGGGTTAAAAATATGATTTCTCATCCATCTTAGATAATTAAATGCTTCAATTACAAAAGAAGTTGAAGGCATAGAGCATCATGGTGTTAATTGAAAGTATGCAGGTATACGTTTCCAGTATATGTTCACTAAAGCGCAATATATTTCAAAACAGGCCTCCACAGCCAAGGTATTCAGATCTTCTATTTCCTCTGTTTGATTTTTATAAAACATGCATAGGCAGACACTGTAAGTTTATTGTATTTCTTTTTTTCTTATTTTTTTTTTTACACAATATAGGTTCTCTATTTTTACTTTGTTCGCAATACTTAAAAAGAGAAAAATTAACACTCAATTCCAGCAAGCCACAATAAATCTACCCCGCCCCTCCCCCGTCCAAAAGAGACAAAAAATAAACATATTTGCAAATGATAGATAGGTAAGTGTAAATTCCAGTTATGAAACTCAAGAAAATAGGTATTCATTACCGAGTTATTTAGCCATTATACAGAAAAATCAGGTCAAAGCACACACCAAAAGAACCTGAGGTAAGCATAATATGTACAAAACCATAAAACGTTCCATTATTTGGCATTTCGACAACATTGCAACATTCTTTTTAAGACTGCCTAATTAATTTCAGAGCTATTTTATAAGAGTAGCAAAAAAAAGTTATCAATAAATAGTCCTTATTTAGTTTGTACACCCTTATATGTTAAAAACATTATCTCATGTTCTGTCCTTTTTAGTGCTGTATTTTTGTAAACGTACAATAGTTAGTAAGAAGTTACACGACTTTCCGTTTCGGTGTAAATGAGCAAGGGTCTTTCGAGAAAAGAAATAAAAAAAAAAAAAAAGAAAGAAAGAAAGAAGAAAATCAATCACCTTTAAGATCTCTCCGTGCCTCTGTTTCTGTCTGACATACTGTGGTGTGGAGTCCAATCAGGCGCCCTAAAGGCCCGACCGTTCAGAAATGTGACCTGGCAATAACTTAGCAGATTTGACTATGAACTAATATTTTGAAGGCATATCCAAAGACTAGCAAGTGAGATGTCCCCCCAGTGTGAGCCATAGATGCCTCCCCCCCACTCCACACTCCCTCCTCCACACTCCTCCACCCTCCTCCACCCTCTGCTGCCCCTTTTCTGCGGTGGCGGGCCGTGATGAGGCCGGGGGGCGAGGCAGCCCCGTCGGCCAAAGGTGGCGCCTGCTGCTGGCCTTCACTGGATGTTGCTGCCGCTGCTGGTGCTGCCCTTGGCGTCGGTGCCGTTGGTCTCCGAGGACAGGGCCTTGTTGAGCGAGTTGAGGCTGGCGTCGGAGGGCAGGGCGTCTCGTCGCGGCGGCATCCTCTCGTTGATGCGGTCCAGGCCCTTGGCCTCCTCGAAGCTAGTGATCTTGTGCTGGGGCGAGAAGCCTTTGATGGCTGTTGAGATGCGACAAAAACGAAAAAAAAAAGGAAAAGAAAAAAAGGGAGGAAAACGAGGGAGAAA